CACACATTTTACACCATCATAATCATTTTACAATATATTTTAAATTAGGAATTTTACTTTCAACTAGATGGACTCATTTTGAATCATTGTTAATTGTGATTATCTTGTTTTTAATTATTTTTCAACTTGGCCATTTAATTTCACAGTCCCATATAACCTTTTATTACAGTAATCTGGGCGACTCTTTTGGATATGAAATTTGTATATTTATTTCATCTTTTTAACTTATTTCAAACCTAAGCTATATTATGCTAATATATGTTTACAATAACTTCAAATCAATGTTCACCAGCAATTCTGATACTGAAATATTATATAATAAGTAGTTAATAAGAATATGAGGAAATAGAATGAGTTCGTGTTAAATTTATTCAAATCACTGTTCTGAAATTATATGTATTACAAGATGACTATTTCATTATTCCAATTCGTATATGTTTATAGGGATTAAAATATTTACTGATTAAACAATGATATAATATCTATAATAAGACAGCAATACGAAACACGCTAATATAACATTCATTTTTATTCTTACTTACAACTAAGCATAACTTACCCTGGATATGACATTGAGAATAAGAATATTAGATTAACTATATAAAATACTATCAATGTATAAGAACATCGAGTCAGTTAGTATTTGACGTAAGTAAATAAAAATTCATCAAGGTATAGTCAACATTTGTGCCTGTTTCATCTTCTACAGTCTACAGATTAACAGATAGCCAGTCAGACTAAGAGTTATGATGAAAAAGTCAGAAAAATAACTAATGTAAGAAATTAATGCTGTTTACTTTCAATGCTGGCCTAGACATTTAATAAAACAGGTCTAATGATTTTCTAGCCTAAATTTAATCTTCAACAAAAATATTAGGTTGTAGTTAGTCTTTTATCAATAAACAGTGGACTTCACAAAACTCGTCCACAATTATCACAAAAGTGAATTTATCTTTTGAGTCGATTAGGTGAATTTTGTATAGAAAGTTTTCTTTAAAACAGAAAATATTCTAGCAGTTTAATAACACTACCAATCTGTGTTGTCAAATACAATAGAAAAAATTCACATATATATATATATATATATATATATATATATATATATATATATATATATATATATATATATACATATATTATATACAATATATATTTATATATATACATCAGAAGACTATTCGAATTAAATTCTCATGTTTGCACCAATCATATAATAATGTCGATGAAAAAGTAAAGAAATTTATACAAATATTCTTTGTTTATTTACTGCTAATCTAATTAAATGTTAATATTTCCGTCATCACTAGCAAAGATGGTACTAACTTACTCACTTTACATAATCATAATAATAATATCAGTTTGTCTAGTTATCATTCATATCATAATTTACCTATGAATGTATAATCTTTTCTAATTATAATTCATAGCTGAAATGCAAACTTCCTAGTATAAACATAACTTATAGAAGTTAATATTGTATGAAAACAAGTTAAAACAATAACATGTAATACATTTTCAAAATTGTCTTCATAAAAGATAGTCTAATTATTTTTAATATATCTGTATGTACAATCTTATATTGACCTTTCTAAACAAAATAATAAAAATAGCAAAGGCCATTCAATCGAACATGGACTCAAAGGAAGTGACGACTTTCAATGCATAAAAGCAGGGATTGGAATCAACCATCGAAATATAGGTTTTTAGGGTTATTTTGTATTGAACTATTTTTTTTTAAAGTGAATCATTTCCTGATAACTACTTTCACATATTTCTTTTCGAAGTGAATAATAGTTTGATTTAAGAAAACAGAAGTGATTTAATAAAACAAAGTTTAAAAAACAAAAACAAATACTTTGTTGCATATTATCTATATTTCCTAATTAAAGAATGTTATTCTTCATCCATTGGAATGTTGAATAAAAATAATTAAATCATGTATACACATACAAACGAAATTATAAAATGATTTTTTGTGTAAAGTTATTAAAGAATAAGCAAAGACAATTATACTTACCGCTCTATCAAAACAATCTGTTTTATTTAATAAACTATGTGGTATTCTCAAATCGGTTGTGGAGGCCACTAACGATGGACTTGATATATTTTCCCATCTTGATGCAATTTCAAGAGCGGCTGATGTTTTCTCTTCTTTGGTTTTCTGTGGATCTAATAGGATAGCTTCATAAAATTCTTGTATATCTTTATGTTTTTATTGTGTTTTAATCCATATAGAAAAAAAATCAAGAATGTGAAAAGAAATAGTTATTTCAATTATAAAGCTCGCTATTCTTTAACAATCTCGAACCATCAAAAATTCTTAATCAATATAACCAGATAATAATAATAATAACAGTTGCAAACAGTATGAACTCATTTCAATGATATACAGTTCACTTCAGACTAATTATTGTTAAGAATCATTGATGATTTAAATAGACAAACAGCTGTCAAACTCATGACTCTGTGAATTTGTCTTCTCTATTAAAAAATTACTTTTCCTTCTTTTCTCTGGATTCACTATCAAATTCACAATATCAAATAAACGTCATGCTCAAATCCAAGAGAATATCATCAACAAACAATTATATTCATTCTCATATGCATCACCCTTGGTACAAAATATAATATGCTATTTTTGAACTACTTGCAAAATTATTTAGATATGCCACATAAAATCCTTATTGTTTTTTACCAGTACAAAGTTATATTCAATCACAAATTAATAATTAACGAACAAATATAGATTAATAGGTTCAAGATGATTATTTCGTTTTCTTTTATAATCCTTTCTCACTGAATAATCTCATTTTCCTCGAAAGTATAATCCGATATTTGTAGCCAAACAAAAATGCAATTTTAGAAAACATTTAATGTGTTTAGCGAAAAAAGCTGTTCAATGATATGATATTTTTGCTAGTAGAACCTAATAACTCCACTAGGAGCCTTTTTAGAATTACTTCGGACTTCAGGTCTGGACGAAAGAGGAGTATATAAGTCAGTAAAAGCTAGCAAATAAACAATAAAAACGGTCAGAACTGAAACTTCATATCAAAACATTCGGATGGCAAATATTTTGTAATGAAATAATCAAACAGTTATATATTTTACCGCATAAGAAGTATATGTTAACCTACCAAGTAGACCTAAAAACAGTCTACTTTGAAACACATTCATCAACCGATTTAGAGCTTGAACCAGCAAATCATCTTTTTCACTATTTAAGCGGTTACGATAGTTTGTTATTTGATTCAAAGCTAGATGCGCATCTATAAATACATGGAACCAAAAAGTACGTGTTATAATTACAGTTTGCATAAATGCAGTGGTATCAAAAACAATTTGATGTGTAATTACAAACTTTCATTGTCTTAAAAAACGCAGGTCTGCACTCAAAAACTACCTTGTCGAGTTTCAGAATTAGTTAAAGACCATAAATAAATGTTGATAGATGATAAATATAAACTGCTGTCTACGCATCTCTAGTTACCATCAGCTAACCTTGAAACTGACCCCTATAAATGACAAACTGGGAAACTTTCTAGGATACCACATTTCTCTTCAAAAACGTCAACGTTTACAATTATACTATATCAAAATATGGTCAATAATCATAACATCTTATACCATACGTGTATTCTATAAAAATTCTTGACAGGTTTGATTCGAAATGAATATTTCCAAAATGGCGTAGATACTGTGTGTTTACTTAATTCACTGTTGTTAAGGGAGAGACAAAAAGACAGCGACAAACAATGAAAGCGTATTTTGGGGCGAAGACCTCATTATTCAACATTCGCCATCAATTTTTCCAAATATGCAAATCTCCATCCGATAATTATCTCACATATGCTTGAAAGGTTAACTGAGAATGTAAATGCTTTAAAATTAATGAAATTGCGGCGCGCCTTTATTTTTTGATTAAAAAAAGTTAAAGTTGTTGATATCGGCATCAAAATGTTAATGCGCATTGTGAAGGAGCCTAACATGACTTTGCAGGTGGTTAAAACTGAATATCAAAGGCTATTAAATCTCAAACATGAAACAGAAGTCGAAACCTGATTTCAGGTTAGTAAATGCAGTTAAATCCTCAAACTCTTTCAAACAAAGTTAGCGTTACGCACATCTTCGCCATTTCGGTTTTGTGGAGCAGAGCATCTTATGAAATGATTCCCGCTTAAGAATCACAAACCTCGCTAACGGCGTCGTAATGGTCATAAAGAAGATCACTGCCCACCAAAGAAATATCAACCAAACTTTCGTCGTAGAAATTAAAAGTAGAGTTCACATAGTCAAATCAAGAATACTTTGCGACTTTAAAGTTGGTTTTCAGAGTAAACGGGAGTACAATAACTTATTGGTGAATGGCAAAACCATTCGTCTTCAGTTAAATATGGCGTCTGACACTACACTGCTTTCCAACAAAACATGGCGTCAGTTAGGAATTCCACCAGTAAACCAACCAAACACGATATGAAGAATGCCCCGGGAGACATTTAAACTAACATGAAAAATTAAACGCCCAGTGCAATTTAAAGGACGCAAATTTGACCGTGTCTGTTATCTAACAAACCGGAAAGGTTTGGATTTATTAGGCTTAGAGTGGGTTGCGAAGGTAGATACTCTGAATACCTTATTGATGTATTTTCTCCCATGTCATATCAAAACATAAACATGTATCTAAATGCCAAAGAAACAGCACTGATTTTCAAAATATCTCGGTGAAAATAATTGGATGGGACTGGGACTTAATAATAGAATTTGAGTGATACAAAAAGGACCTTGAAAAAATTCATAGGAGTGTTAAAAACCAGTGAGAAAAATTAGGATAAGCGCCTACATCCGGAGGTGTTGAAAATAAAATTTTAGGTTTCCATAGATAAATAACACTAGGCATGATAATAAAATGCAATCTGGCCTTACAGATAATCCAAGATAGTTGCATTAAACCCGAAAAGTTCAAACACGAATTAACGCCCAACCAATGACTTATTTGCACTAAAAAATATGTATATATTTAAACTTAGGTGTATTGAGAAGGGTTTTTCAGACATTTTTTATTTGTACGGTAAAAGCAGAACACCAAGGATTGCAAAATAAAGGTGTATTTGATTGACCCATAAACTGGTTCATAATGTAACGTTACCAAAGGTACGTCAAAACATTATAAAGATGTAAAATAAGGAAAGAAGCGTTCTCAATAAAGTCTAACAGCGAAAATTAATTGGAGATTTTGTGTAATGCAATAGCTACTATATATGAATACAAAACTTCGATAACAGTACTGCAAAATTCGTGATTTAAAAAAACCTATTGAATTAGGTAATAATTATACATATCACTTAACTGGCTGAACATGATTTCGAAAATTAAAATGTAAAACGGAATACTAATGATATCGAGCCTTATTTATGCTGAGCTGACACAGAGTTGGATTTAAAAAACCAGACCACATGAAAACTTTATTGTTTATTTCAAAATGTAAGAATAAGGGCCCATACAATTTTATACCATATATTTACAAAAACCTACCCCTTTTATTTTTACAAACGACCATATCTTCATGTTACCGCTTTTTTGCACATGTACTGCTATAGATTTTTAGAATACTTAAACAAATTAGGAATCACGTATGTACAACGGTATGTTTATTGCGTAAAAACAACATTTAAAGGCCTTTTCAGACTTAAAATGTTCACGATAAAATAATACTAGTGAACTTAAGCTTGATACCATCGGATGCAAATAAATTCCACCATATCCGATTTCCAATACATTTTTCACGAGATTGTATAAAACCGTTAGCTTCTTTGCGCACGATTCTTGTTCTTTCGATACGATTCCAGGTATCCGAAAATTTGCGATGGATGGTGGTCTAGCCATTACACTGCACTAATTCTATTCATTTGAGTTTATGTGTACCGTGATTCGAGTGACTATGTTTGTTTTGGGATATTGGGGCTTCAGGATACCACCATCTTTGATGTTACCAGGCCTGAGGCCAGTTATTTGCAATGTGGTTAATAATGAGGAAAAAAATCCTCAAGCCAATATGTAAAAGGTTGTAGTGGTTTACTTTTACGAAGCAAACACAATTGCTGAAATATAAATATTTATTATTGCGCTTAATTCTGACAATAATTGCTATAATTTCACCTCTTATTTATCTGTACAAAAGACTATCTCTCGCGAGCTGAGCGTATTTTTCCTGTTCTCCCCTTCGCACGTCTCCTGCGTGGACGTTAACCGTTTTTACGCTCTCTTGCCTCAATATTATTTCGATATCAAGAGGCCAAACTCCACCTGTAGAACCTTCGGGGCTACTGCCGGTCCCAAGCCCGGATAAAGGAGAACGGTTGGACATGGGGTTGGCGACCCCATTCCGTCGAAATCTCACTTGCCAAAAAAACTATATCCAGAAAAAATAATTCAAACCATTTTAACTCTGCCCTGGGAGTTGGAAGAACAATTATGAAGTCGCGTGATCAAAGCCGAGTTCCCTCGGAAGTCACGGGGCCGATGCCTCTTCTCACAACCAGAGCAACCATTCGTTTAGCTACATGGAACGTTCGTATATTGTGGGAGACTGGAAGACTACTCCAAGTTGCGGGAGAAATGAAAAGATACAACATCGAGGTGCTCGGCATCAGTGAAACGCAATGGACACAGGTGGGACAACTGAGACTTGCTTCAGGGGAACTGCTGTTATACTCTGGTCATGAAGAGGAAAACGCCTCACATACACAAGGAGTTGCACTGATGCTGTCCAAACATGCACAAAAAGCACTGATAGGATGGGAATCTCATGGACCGAGGATCATTAAAGCATCCTTCAAAACAAAGAAACAGGACATTACAATGAACGTCATCCAATGTTATGCACCTACCAATGACTACAATGACGACGTTAAAGATCGATTCTACGAAAGGCTGGAGTCAATCGTCAGAAAATGTTCACCAAAGGATTTGACGATTATTACGGTAGACCTGAATGCCAAGGTTGGAATGGACAACACTGGATATGAAGACATCATGGGACGACATGGACTGGGAGAAAGGAACGAAAACGGTGAGAGATTTGCAAACCTATGTGCCTTCAACAAACTGGTTATCGGTGGCACAATATTCCCACACAAACGCATTCACAAAGCCACATGGATTTCACCGGACCACACTACTCAAAACCAAATCGACCATATCTGTATCAACAAAAAGTTCAGAAGGACCATGGAGGATGTGAGAACCAAGAGAGGAGCTGATATAGCTTGAGATCACCATTTGCTGGTCGCCAAAATGAAACTGAAGCTAAAGAAGCATTGGACAACGGGGCAGGCAACATCATGGAAGTTTAATACAGCCCTTCTTCAGGATACCGTAAAACTCAACGAATTCAAGATAGCTTTCACCAACAGGTTCCAGGCCTTTCAGGATCTACACAATGGCGAGGACGCAACATTGGAATACAATTGGAAAGGGATTAAGGAGGCAATCACTTCAACATGTTCTCTGGGTCACAAGAAGCACCATCACAAGGAATGGATCTCTGTTGGTACTCTAGAAAACCCGACCGTAGCTGCTACCTTGACGTGGTGGTCGGGCTTGCCTATCGTGATGACCCCAACCGAGCTATACTGGCTGGAACATATGTTCCTGCAGGCTCTTCCATGTCAGGCAGGTCGATTGGAGAACAATGAGACTAAAAGCAGCTACCCAAGGTCTGAGGGCGAAGTCGTACTGCTGACTGCAGGGGGTTGTGACAGCAGTAAGGTGTTTACCTCGGATAACCGGCATCTGCAGCGATGCTGCCTCCTCACAAGGAAGGAAGGGTTAGAAAAGGTCGGCCCTAAAAATGTCACACCTCCCCTACCCCCCGGATTTCCGTCTACGGCGGGCCTTTAAGAGCAGAGCTCACCCTCAAAATGCCTTTAACAAAAAGGCCGTGCGTAACGGGCCTCAAGCAGTTGTCCCATGGGCTCTGCGGTCACACACCAACACTAAAAAAAAATCTATTTCAGGTCCCTCAAGAATCAACCTTCCATGGTGTGGGCAGCCGGGAAGTGACAACCGCCCTCATACCCGTAACAGCACGCGAGACCAAATTGGTCAAAATCAAATCCTTCTTACAACCCCTAATATCTCTCTAATGTCAACAACTAACTCTACTCACACTCCTTTTTCTCACCGCACCGCTAATGCAGACGACCCGAGTTCGCGAAACGTCGTTCCTGATCTCCTTAAACATCGCTCTATACTACATCTCCGTGCTGAAGTGATATGGCAACATGAACTGATGTACTTACGTACGAAGTTCTACGTTGCCTCTGACTGACTGATTGACTCTTAAAAAAATTGAAGGAGGAACTGACGACATGTTAGATAAAATTAGCTCCGCCGCACCAGTCTATGCAGATGATACGAAGTTCTGGAGGTCCATCAGAAGCTTTAAAAGGATTTTTATGTCAGTTGTGGAATTAGCAGCGGAAAATGGGTTAAAGCAAAATCAACCCCAAGTGACTCAAGCCCTCAATATCAGTCCCCTCCTTAATGTCTCCTAAGAGTGAGATCTCGGTTTAATACCGACAGAAAGCCTAGACACCAGTTCGAACCGCATAGCGGAAGCAACCAAAGCTAATGTAGCTGTTCGTTTTATGCGAAGACAAGTTGATGTACTTACCCCAGAATTATTCTGACCACAACTAAAACACACTCCTACCCACACCTTGAGGTTCACAACGTCATCGCTAGCTCCTAGACCAAGTTCAGAGAAGCGCAGCTACATGAGTGATAGGATTGAAGAAAAAACATTGTTTCTTGAGTTACGGAAGAATCATAGGTGATCTGATAATAAACAACATAAAAACATGGCAACTTATCCGAGCATGAGAATTTCACCGAAACAATACGACACTCGAGGTAATCCTTGAAAAACTGTCTATCAAAGGAAGAACATCCAGGTTCTTGCACAATTTTTCTCTTTAAAAGTTATGGCAGCCTGTAATGCTCTCCCAGCCAAGGTGACCACTGCCCCCTCAGTGGATAGCTCTAAGAGGAGACTTGATAAAAAAGTATGAACATACGGCTGCCATCTATGTCTTGGGCCGTCTGTGTTTGATGCTTGCCTACAAACCTGCTAGTTGTTTTCAATGTCATTTCCACAATTTACTAACTTATTCAGTCTCACTTTTTGTCTCTGTTTTCGCTCCTTTGCTTACGTTTTTGTCCTTTTACAAAATCTTCACTACCAATCGGTTAACTTATTTGTCCATTTATTTACTTAGATCTGAAGTCTTATTGTTGTTAGAATTAGAAATTTCTCCACGCTTAAACTTCCTAATCTCCGACCTACTGAGGTGATAGCTGACGGTATCCAGAAACCCTGCTGCCCTGAAACAAACTCAGTCGTTCTGATCACGAGACATACTAACTCACAAATAACTTCCGGAGGATTGGGATTAAAGCAGTTGAGGAGTTAGACTTCCATCCACTGGACATTACCAAATACTTGGAACCGTACCGAAAGAACAAGAATCGAGCGCAAATAAATCAGTCAGTTTATAATAGCTTGTGGAAGAGATATCCTATATTATGTAGTGTTTGTTCTTTCTAAACTTGAGTGCTGTATACAAATAATCATTCTCCGATTGAAAGTTCAGTGAGTTGTTAGAAAAATTGAAAGAATAGCAACTAATTTACTGTTTGACTTTCGAAGACGCAGTATGATATTATTTGATAAAAAAAGTACGACTTCGGATGTGATATGACCTCGTTTTCTAAATCTTCAAGGAGAGAGAATCAAGGATTATACTCCAGAAAGTTGACAAGCCTGGAACAGAATGCTTGTCAGCTAACTTCCATTTTTTATCATAATCAGTTATTATTGGAACCTCTAACTTTAACTGGTAGTTGGAGCTTCACCTTCGGAAGGTAATTAGATAAACTGGAAGGATATCACAGACTGCCAGATTTTACATTTTCCAAACACCCGCTTGAGTTTATTTTACTGGGTCATAGTTGACACAAAACCTTCACTTTACAATAGCGCGATCTTACGAAATGTCGCTCTTCGACTTATAATGTTTAAGTGTTTGCCAATCATAGGACCCTGTGGTCGACATATAGATCATATTGATAGGCGTCATTCAAAGCTTGAACAGGTTCCGGATGACGTCATAAGAAGTTTTCGAACTCTTGAGGAATGTCGCTTGGATGCCAACCAAATCAAGGAGTTACCGAAGGTATTTAGAACTACTTTTGATACATACTTTTTTGATATGGAATGGGTTCAGTGATTTTCATTGTGATTTATTTCAGAACTTCTTCCGCCTAAAGCGAATTCGTCTCCTGACATTGAGTGACAATGAACTTACCCGTTTACCAAATGGAATTGGCAGCTTTTCGAATCTTGTGGAGTTGGACATCAGTAGAAATGGTATGATTTCAGCTTAGTATTTTTTACTCGCCCAGATATATCTGAACTCCCGGCAAGTATTCGGTTCTGTGATTCTTTACAGAGTTTGGATGTAAGCAATAATCCTTTGCAAAGGTGAGATGCCGATGATTAAAATGTTTACACATGTCTAGTTTAAGCCCAAATAAATAATCTTGTTCCAAAACGTACTACTAGCATATTCCGTTTTATATGTTTCAAAGATTGAATAGAAATCTGGTATTCTAAAACTTCCTTGCCATAGAAACGCGAATATATTATTACTATTTCGGCTCACAATTAAAGGCTAAAAATGCAATTTGTAGACGATCGTTATTAATTGAGGCATCACAAAAAACAATTCCCGATTAGATGTTAGTTTAGCAGACAGAAGGATAGTTTTTTTGCTTGTTAAATATTTTGTGTTGTCAGTTTTATTGGACGTGATTAACTTTCTAAACAAAACTTTTAGTATATGATATTTTGCATCCTGTAATTTTAGTCCGGCTCGTAGATACATTTTTTAGTGTTACAGTTTCTCTGAATTTCGTATACTCTCACGTTCATACAATTGGCTACAAACGATGCCTTTTAGAGAGTACTACATAATGATACATTATTATGCACTAGACCCAGGTATTTAGGTGCTTAATTGCCTCCTTTTTAGTTTCTTTTACATGAAAACTAAGTAATCTAAATTTCATGGTTCTGCCTACTTCATATTGGTTAGGTTTTCAACTGTAAAGACGATAAGTCTGTGTATCATGTTGTCGCATCTTTTTGGAGGATGATGTGATTTGGTGAGTAACACAAAACAGTCTGAAACTTTTTGTTGCTTTGAATTTTTTTACAAATTAACCTATTTATCCAAATCTCCCAATTACAGCCTACCTGCTGGTTTCTGCCAGTTGCGCAATCTTCGAGTTTTATGCTTGAATGATATTTCGATCGCTGAGCTTCCGGAGGAAATAGGCAGGTATGTGTTTGTTTTTTAATTTTGCGGTTGTAAGTAAAATTACGACTCATTTACGGTGTATATACTAACAGCCTGCTACTTTGTTCACATTTTTAAATGTATCACTTGATAACTTAAATAATAACAAATCATCGAACCTGAACTAGCAGGAAATCAGTTGAAAACATCATAAGCATCAATCCGAATGAATGTCCAACGTAACGTCCAGGTTGTTAGAGTAATTTTGAAAGATGTAACACCTCTGTTATCGGAAAAATGGTCGATAAAATAATCTTGGTAGGAAAGATCATTCGGCTACCTAGTTGTTTCCAAATATATTCCATGACAATCCAAAAACGGAGTACCTAAAAGCATTATTCATAACCAACCGATAAATTACTGTTAGTAAAATTTTATTCAAATGGTTCTAACGGGCATGCAATTCTGATGTATGATGAAATCTCGGCATGTATACAGAAGACTCGGTTGGCCTTGGTCAACTTGCGTCATTTGTGGTGTAGTCAAGATATCCGTCTGCCAATTAATAGACGAGTTCACAGTGCTTCAGTTAACCACTAACTACCTTTTTGAGCTATGTTTTGCGTTGTAGGAGTAGGTTGGAAGAAAGCTAGGGTCTGCTAGACCTAAACATGGCACAAATCCATGAAGTCGTTGACAAATGGACTGAGCCATATTAGTAGGAGTAGACTACTCAGTTGGGGTCCGTCAGACAATTGTAGCCGGTGGTTAGATACTTTGAGTAACATGGTTCGAAGTCGCTTGCAATGGCGCCAATATATCCATTCTTTATCTTTTCTCAAAATCTAATATCCACAATACCTCATGACGTTTTATTTTAAAAATTCTTTGATTAGGTTATACTTCTTGAATCATATTTTCAATCGCTAGTTTTTTCCATTACCACTAATGATGCTACTACTTCTGCCATTGAAAGTCCGAATGATCTGTGCTGTGGTATGTCAACTTGAAGTGATGTGCGTACGTACAAAGTTCTATGTTGCTGTTGGCTGCAGTTCTCTCCATTCTACTTAATGGGTTTTAAACAATACCACCAAAAATAAAGGATATTTGTAGGTTATTAGTATTCGATCGCAGGTATATTCGAGGCATCGCACCGATTAAGCAGTTCTGGGGTTAGAAATAGGGTTTTAAGTAAAAATGGCAAATCGACTGATGAAGTAGTGAATCTCCAACTAAGGCGATTGAGCTGTGTTACACATCCCCAACCGCCACCTTCATCGACTGGCCATTTCTGATGAAAGCGTAGGCTGGAAGAAAGCTAGAGGTGGCCAGACCAAAATATGGCACTGATCCATCAAGTTATTGAGAATATGTGTGCTCCATATTAGTCGGTATAGATTGCCTGATTGGAGTCCGCGTGATAAATGAAACCATTAGTTAGAAATTCTGAATGACATGGCTCAAAATCGAGTGCATCTATTTTTTTGCCTTTTCCCTAAATTCTAAGCTTATTCCCCCATAATTTTCAATTTTTATTTCAGTGGTGTATGTTTTTTGAATCGTGTCTCCGTTAATAATCTTTTCTATGATCACTGGTAGTGTTACTACCTCTACTTCTCTGAGATACGTCTGACAATTTTATCTTTATTTGTTAGTGGGGTATGGCAACTCGGACTAGAACGTATCAGATTTTACTTTGCAACTGACTGAACGCCAGCTTGTATTGTTTATCAGCAAAATGCGACTTCTGTCAAATATTGAGGGCTACATTTTCTTGATGGATATTTCTAGATGAATTTCAATTATTTAAGATTGATCATAACCAATAATAATTCTTTATTTCTATTCAGCTTACAATTATTAGAAAAATTAGAACTTCGTGATAATTGTCTCAAGTCAATACCAGACTCATTCGCTGATCTTATTCATTTGGAGTTTCTTGATCTTGGTGCCAATGAGTTTCAAGAGTTGGTGAGTTTGTTTCCATTGTTTAATCGTTTAAACAAATCGCTTCAAATTATAAATTTGTGGAGTCTAAATTGTTTGCTCATTTTAAAATCCAGTGTTTCTTTCCGACATACGTGAAACATGTGAACTTAGTTACAGATTACAAAGAAAACTACATCTTATCACCTGCTTCAGATTTATTTGTATTCCCTCCTGACCACAATACCGGGTTTAGTAATAACAGGACAACTGCTGAAAAGAGGTGTACGCAAGTTATGAACTTGTATTCGATGGGTATTTAATGTACTGTTTAGCCAATATCTTCACATCCTTCAAACTAATAGGCAAAAGGTATAATAGTATTTCCTAAAAACTAATGTATATATATACATATATTTATGTTTATAAAAGTTTGTTTTTTAAGATTTACTTTTCATTTTCATTCAGTCTCCCGTAATTGGCCAACTCTCCCAATTGAGCGAATTATGGATAGATGATAATGAACTGAGATCATTACCTGAAGTAAGATATTAGTTCTAATAAAATTATCATTTCTTAAATTAACATATTAGTGGAAACTTAATATCTTTTGTGTCTGTAAAAACGGAGTTATTTATAGTATAAAGTTATCTGATCAATGTGACGTAATATTTGATTCTCGACAGTTATTGATTAATGCTAAATAAACTGTACTAGTTCAGTCATAGTGCTAGTTGATCGCACTGGCTCAGGTGTACTTATTTATTATTTTCTCCTAAGCTATAAACGTGCCATTGCCTGATTCTGTTCATTCTCTAATTTCATTCATTTACTTTAAATTATTTTCCATTAGTCTTAGCCTTTGCTCTATGTTTTTGCCAATTTCTTTCCATCATACTGAAGTATAGTATCATAGTCTAATACAGATATATCTATATTTGTTTATGGCATGTGTGACATTTATTATCTAATGTACTAAGAGTAAAATTGATTTGCTGATTCTTTTCTTGGAAATGTTCATTCTCCTTTTTAAATCTTATATATATTTTGATTTCATTACCTAACACCTGTTTCATTCAATCAACGTGTTTGTATTTGGCTGTTAATTTGCCCTATTTTTAAAATAGCTGCATATATCATGTTTTTTTAATATACCATTCTGGATTACATTTCTCAGATACACTAAAGTTTTTGAAATATTAGGAATCCTCCATTGGATACTTTTATTGACCTGACTTGATTGAACCTTAATTACAATCCAATGAGTGAATGTACATTTTACCTTGCTTTTCTTTTATTCTATACTTTTTTGTTACCTCTGTCATAGTAACTGCTTGTCTTCTGTTTTTTTGGTCCTCTATTAGTATTTCATATAATTATCACTAGTATTTTACTTTGCTAGTTTTTCGTACTGTAGTGCTTAAATGTGTGTCTAATCTGATCGACATACTTTTAGGTCACACGACAATGCTTACAATACAAATCATTATTTCACTTTACAATATTACAAATGTGAATGACCATTCAGCTCAGTATGTCAATCAATTGTTTTGTTTCATGGGTTTTGTATAGAGACTTATGGATAAAACTCAGGGCAGATTTGTAACAATGTATGATGTTGGCTGCTGGAATATTAATAATTTTGTTTCTTCACGTTATTAAGTCTCCGTACTGTTTATGCTGTCGCATTTATAAGTTTTTCGCCATAATTTAAAAACCTTTTGTAGACTAATCAAACAACATGGAAATTTCGGTGCTGACTATATATTGTTTCTACAGTTACTACTTCATAGTTAGTATGGTTCGATTACTTTGATGCTATGTCGCTTGGAAAGGCTTTCCATCCACAGATTGTCCAACAAGCTTATCTAAGTACACGGTTTCAGAATTTCCCGTAAGCTTCGTTAACCTCAAAGTAATTCGTAACAAAATAGAGACCGAATTGTGAAGATAAATTATCCTTAACTGAATCTTCACTGTCTGTGATGTGGAATTCAAATGATCACCTAAAGTATTCCGCAAGGTCTTCTATGGTTTAACATTATGTTACTTCTTAACCGTGAAAATACTAATTAGATGTGCCTAATATGAACAACATCCTACCTACGTGAATAAAGATTCTCTACATAGTGTTTTATTCTTAATAACCATTGCAGACAGTACTGTTGTATTAAATCCTATATGTATCTGTGTGCTTTCTGTTTTAAGAATTTACGCGTTATCAGTTCTGTTTAAGTGAAGTAGATAAATAGTAGAATAACAAAAGAAGTAAGAAAGGTCAGAGGTGCAAAAAAAAATTGAGTGTAAACAAAACGTTTCGAGAGAACAAAAGAATGAATTTACCGAATAAGATCATTTTAAAACTTACGATCCAATGGAAGGCAGAGATGATGCATCCGCTCCATTATGACTGATTCCGAGCTGTGTCACCAACTGATTCCAACCACTAATAAGAATGGTAGCGTGGGAAAAGCTAGATATTTGTGTTTCTTGTGTTATTGCCTCTTTTCACCATTGTATTGCACATACATTTCTCTTACATAATAACAAGGATAAGCTGTAAATCGTAGTATATAAACTATTATATTTCAATTATTTTCACTTTGATTCACATTGAATTTGTGTTTTGGTGTGTGAAAAAACCAAACTTTAAGGAGCTGGGAAATCTTGGGAATTTACAGCAATTGGATCTATCAGAAAACCTTATTTCTTCTCTACCTGAAAGCATTTCAGGATTGGTTTCATTGTCGGACTTAAATTTATCACAAAATACTATAACACATTTACCGAATGGCTTAGGTAAGAAACTGTATAACTATAAATTGTAGTTTATTTTTGCTACTATTGATGATGTAACTCACTCAGTTTTATTTTTACTAATATTTCGTATCTGTTCAACATAATTATATGACATTATGGTCACCTAATTATTCTGTACAGAAGATCCTTATTTTAATATTCTGTCGTTAGGCATTTTCATTCTTATATCTGCAATCGTATCTGATAGACAATAAGTAAGCATACCGATGATTCGAATTGATGCACTAAAAAAACTAGATTTTCGTTATGACGTGCGGCATCCAAGGTCTAATTGTGATACACATCCCCAAACTGGCTACTTGAGCGAGGAAGCACGAACAGAAGAGAAAGTATATTTGGCTGCCGAACCATATGTACGGATACTCGTTTATATATATATATATATATATATATATATATATATATATATATATATATATATATATTCCATCTTAGAACAAGAAGCCATTTTTTTGAACTAACGATCTGTATCCGTTCTTTAAGACATTTTTTGATGGTCATCGAATAGCCTTTTCATCTGACCACTTCTGATTGGGATTAGATTACACAAGGGAAAAGATATAATGAATAGAACGATGTTTCTAGATTTGAGCTAATCTAATTATTACTACATTATCACTAACATGGAATATTTATAATTTAACGGGGATGATTTATGATAACAATGATCAGTTATAACAACAAAATTCAATAATGTGCACTCGTTTTTAAAAGTTGAACCAAAAACGAAAACGATAACTGTGGAATCGAGTTACACAATATGACGATGTTAGTTTTGGAAATAAATCGTATTAGAAATTTTCATGCGAATGATAGTTTGATTGGATTTTGAATTCAACAACTGAACAGACAGTGAGAATGATTTGTATAAGGTAAAAATAAGACATAAAACATACTTTGTAATCAAACATTTTACTGGTTAATTACATAGTAAGATATGATGATGAGCAAGGTTTTTTTTTATGCATAGTTCATGTTTCTTTATTTATACAAGGGCTTTAACAAACCAAAGAGAATAAGCATATCGTTTTTTGACAGGCTTGTAGTCAATTTGTAGAGAACCGTGAAATGAATCTTTTGATTTCATGATTTGTATCGTCTAAACGCTCTTGGAAAAAGTTTTATCGAACAACTAGTATACCTTGCTCTACCAGAGTAGATAAATCGACAAATAAATATTAAAGAACTTAGTTGTTTGAGGTCTTGGTAAATTTAGATCCAGTAAGGAACAACATCGTCAGAGCTGCAGTCAATGTTCCTTTGAAAGCGTTTGGAAGAATCATGTTCAGTCAGTCGGAAGATATGTCACCTTTTGAAGTTAGCATATTCTACTCAGATTATCATATTGGTAATACAAAAGTTTGCTTAATAATATATATATATATATATATATATATTCAGTAGTCGTGAATGTAAACAAGCAAAAAAATTTGTAGTGTGTCATTAAAGATAAAATATGCTTGAATTTCATTTGTTTTTATATGTATACAGATTCCTTAAGCGTCATGTTAGTTCTAATTAAATTTTTTCCATCTATTATCATTATTTTCATTTTCAAGGTGATTTGAAAAAGTTGATTATTCTAAAACTCAATCAAAATCGACTGCTTACGGTGACACCGACTATAGGAAAGTAAGTCGAAAATTACACCTGTATATATATGTATATATATATATATATATATATATATATATATATATATATACGGAGAGTAATAAAAGTTGCTCCTGATTGTCGATCATTTATAGTGTGTGGTCATTCCATCCTGTAAACAGGCTGCTTTATTTTTTTAAATTATTTTGTTGTACTGTTATTTATTGCTCCATTGGGGGGTAAAAGGCGTAATTAAGTAAATATATAAGATATTTATTTCGATTCTGTTTTCTTCATGTCAGTTTTCACTGTGTACTGATGTAAATTCTGACACTTTAAAATCATACACATTTGTGCCAGGTTTCAGGTTGCTTAGATCGTTGTTTTTTTTTATGTTTACACTTATTAACTTTAACTATTGTGTGCTATTTCCACAGGTGTCTACTTTTATATTCAATTCATGCAATGTATTGTTGTTGTATTACAAACCAGTCACTGGTACATTTATACATAAAATACCTCCCTCTGTTAATATGTTTGCATTGGTTAGATTTCACTGTTACTTGATTGTCATGTGACTTTTTTTTCTATTTTCCTGTGATGTTTCATCGTTTTTCGTTTTATTATACTTTTGATCATTTTTAAAAATTTTTATTTCTACTAAAAGAACAGTTTTTTTGGCAGATGTATTCATGATTTTGTTGGTGATATTTATTTCTCTGCATTAATCAGTTTGGCATGTGATTTTCATCATTAGACTAGACACAAGATCGTTCAATAGTATAAACTTGGAAACATGATTGACTATTAGAGTTCCGTTGCTAAGTAGTTGCTTGGTATCCTGATTTAATAAATAACTTTTCGGTTTTCATTAATTGTGTTCATTGTTGTTCGGATCTGCATCTATTAGCAGAATATATATATATATATATATATATACATATATATATTAGATTAAAGCATGCCCAATGCAGGGATTAAATTGAGGCATGTCATTTGTCTAAGAATGCGCGATTAGCACTAGCAAATAGTTAGAGAAGGTTCAAGAACATTCTTGTGTAAAGATTGTAAATATAGTAGCGTTTTCATTACAATGATTCCTTTGTATTCAGCTTAGTTTGTTAGGATATGATGAACCACCTGTTCTGATTTTGGGGACCAGTTGAACATTGTACAATGTCGAAGAATACTAACCAGTAAGATAGCGAGAATACGAATAAGCGAGATCATTAACAGTGTGTGGATGGGTTGTTCTGGGCATAAGATATATTCCATTAGGAGTACAGGCTTTTAATTGATCTCAGTGTCACATACTGACGATTCTTCGAGATATGAATGAATTTGTAAGTATCTATACCAAGCTTAAACTTGAATAGTTTCTATTAAATGAGTATTGAGTGGAAAGTTAAAAATCATCGGTTGACTGACCACTGATAATGCAACAGTTGAGTTATGCATTCAGTATGTCTTTCTCAAATGTTTTAATTAATGTTATGGACTATTTTGTTGTTCCTTTTCGATGTTGCTACTGTATAATATCCTTTGGGCAGTTGAGAGTTCGAATCTTTATTTAAATACAATAGTAACCAAAAATGCTTTATTAGTTGAGGATATGTTCTTCTATTCATTCTTCATATAATGTAATGCACTGTTAATCCCTGACTTTATCCAATTCTCCTGTAGTTAAATCCATAATTACTTCTCAATACTGTAACGTTCGTGATAAATAATGATGGATAACACCCACACAAGCTTGGTTGAAACTCAACTGATATGAGATATTTTTCTCATCAAGCGAACCTATTACACGTTCATGTACTAGACTCTGAGATACGTTTATCTGTATTGGCTATTATGATACTACCGGACTGAATATACCGGCGTAGTTGAAGTAACATTTAGTTTCGAAATTCATTAATGGGAAACCACTAAACTATGTGTAAAATTTCTTTCTAACGCGATCCCTTTGAATTATTACTTTTTATTGTTGTGGTACCAATCTTTCTATTTTATTTTATTAAATTGTAATTTATCATTTTGGTTATGTTCAATACTTAACACTGATTTTTCTTTATCAAAAATATACCTTTCTTCTGTTGATTTCAGCTGTTCAAGTTTACAAGAATTATACTTGACTGAAAATTTTCTTTCTGTAAGTATATGTTAATACTTTTAATTTGTTTTTTTAGGCTGATTAGGGTTAACTGAAAATTTTGAATGTAATTTAGCAGTTTGGTTCAAATATACGATATTTAATTGCATAACAATTCAATCAAAAGCAAAAGATTCAATTTTGAGTTTAGAGATAATTTCTTTGGTGTATGGGATTTAGGATTAAGTGACACGTGGTAGATTTTCTGACGAAGGAAGTATACGTGCACGTAAAGCTTCAAATATTTGGTGAGTGAAGCAGCCATGATTCAGGCACTGTTGAAAATAATGTAAACTTTTTAACTTCATTGATATTCTGCTACTGATTTCCTAAACACTCAGTCAAAAGCCAGCTTAACATAATAATTAGAGCAATTGTAAGAGAACAAAATGCGGATGTCTTTCTTATTCCGTCTCCGTTGTTATTTTGTGACTTTAGTCAAGTTCGTAAGGGAATAAACTACATAACACTATGTGTCAAAGTTGCAGGAAAAAGAAACTCTCTGATTAAGTAAATCATATGTTACTCTCAATCGAAATCAGTTTATATCAAATTGTCAATCACACATTTTGATTGCTTATACATATGTACGTATATAGCACAAAAAAAATTTGTGTAGGTACAATCGTTAATCTCTTGAATATATATGTGTACTGAAATTAAGTTACCATAATTCTATAGAAATAAACTGTATTGATTCCGTTTTTATAACAGCTTTATAGATAAAAATAAGATTTTGTTTAAATGTGCGTATGTGACATATGAGTGAAGTATATTTGATTTTTGTGCCAAATTTATTCAAGTAGGCTGTAACATGAATATTCGTTCAGATTAAATTCATCGTCATGGTTGTGTCCGATTGTTACACTTGACACTTCGTTACTATGTGATTGTTTTAGGATTTTTTTTTCTTTCATTGTGTTGTAACGCTTGCTTAGATAATTCCAAACTAATTCCTATTGCTTAGTATTCTCTGACCACAATACACTAAGCAAGTTCCAAAGAATCGAAACACGGTGGAACAGGAAAAGATTATATTCCAAATAGCAAGGTTAAATGGAAATAAGAAGCCGAAGGAGAAGGCAAAAATAGATACAACGTTAGAATTTTAATAGTATTTACATAAGAAGCTTCTGGATAGTAATTCACGTGATCGACTGGATTAGATTTAGCCAATCAGAGTGCAGCTAACAACACGAGAATTTACTACCCTGTTCTCCAAGAATCGATCAGGCGCTGATTGGATTAGGAAATTAGCCACTAACACATTGTGATAATTTAAGATTTTCTTGATTACCTACCACGTACACAAATATGTTTCTTGCAGTTAAACAAAGTTTCATCATTTATGAACTGTCTACTATTTTTTATGATTGACACATTCGGTAGAAACATTTTGAAATATTTGTTGCTTGATGTTTATTTACGTAGATGATTGAACTTAGTCAACCATATTGCTTAGATCTTTTCTCAATTAGGATCATTCTCTTTGTAGTTTGTCGATTTGTTTTCCATGTATATCATTCTGTTATCAGTCACTGGGATAATTTTTATAGACATCCATTAGTGATACAAATGTTTTTTATGTAGTTGTCTGTGAATGTATACGTGCAACGGACTCTATGTGCTGTCTTCCAATACGTAACTTCAACAGATTAAAAAAAATATGAATAAGCTACTTGTATTTGCCGGATTTTTCTTTCTACGGAATATTTTCATGATCCGTGAATATATTACGCTTGCAGCTCTAACAGAGATAACTGCTCATGAAGTTTGCACACGCCTGTAACCATTTATTGGTTTAGATATATTATTATTATTATTATCTCTCTTCTAATCCCAATTATTCGGCAATGTTCTTTGACGCATGATCTGTTGTAATCTTTTATCTATCTTTCATTAGATTATTTTATTTGTAAATTAATTAGAAATACAATTGTACAGTTTAAGTAAATGATATTGTCGAAAAGTAAATATTCTTCTCTATATTATCCTAATATATAGTATTATTTAAATGTATTTTAGAAACTCCCACCTTCTATTGGCAATTTAGCTTCCATGTTTCATTTGAATGTAGATCAAAATCAACTAACTGAGTTGCCCGCTGAGGTAAGCAATTCTGTCATGATGTTTTGTTATCTTCTCACTGATGTTCTTGATAACAGCTAAATATTTGCATTTTATAATCCATTTATTTTCTCTTTTACTGCTGTATGGATCATATCCATTTATTATTGGTTTTACTTTTATGATAAGATTTGTTTTCATTGAAGCATTTCTTTACATACGTCTTGTGTCATTAAAGGCTAAACATGTAAATAAAACGAACATCATGAAAAATAGAAACGTACTTCACTTTCTAGGCATCTGTTGCCTAATATGGATAAACTGGATGTCGAAACCGTGTTGTCTGCTGGATAGAGCTTTGATATATGAATTAGGGTATATCATATCTCTATCCTGTCGAATGTTCTATTAGAACGAAGTTTCAAACGAAATACTCTTTTAGAAACTACGTTTTATTATTGTATCCGTAATTTATTAATGCTAGTCAAATTAATTTGTTTGTAAATTGCTACATATTTTTACAACGCCGTTTTTGAAATCCAGCACTTGCGTTTAGTTGTATTTAGGACTCGTTAGCTGGATGTATCTGCAGCTGTTCAAGCGTTCACTCTAAAGCTAGGGGCGGCCAAACCAAAACATGGCACAAATCCATGAAGTCACTCACAAATGGACTGAGTCATGTTGGTAGATGCAGACTACCTGGATGGGGTCGAGACCCTGAGTGACATGGCTCAAAACCGTTTGAAATGGCGCAGATGCATACATTCTTTGTGTTCTCTCAAGTCCTAACCTTTTGAAGTTCTCATCACCTCTATCTTTCTCTTTCTGAATATATCTCACTGAATTATACTTCTTGAATAACACCTTCGAACCCTAATCTATCCGATTACTTCTAATACTTATACTACCTCTACTACCATGAGATTTGAATTGACAATTATATCTCTGTGCTAATGTGGTATGGCAACTTGAACTGCTGTACTTATATGCAAAATTCTACGTTGCTGTTGATAATGGTGACCTGGCTGGGGTCCGCGAAACGATAGTAACCGATGGTTAGGGACCTTGAAAAAACATAGCTCGAAATCGTTTGCAATGATGCAGGTGCATCCACTCTTTGTGTTCTCTCAAATTCTAACCTTCTGAATTTTTAATCATCTCCATCTTTCGCTTTCTGAAGTTATATCACCGAATTATACTTCTCGAATAATATCTTGAAACACTAATCTTCTCCATTACCGCTAATACTTCTACTATTTCTACCACTGTTGGATTTGAACTGACAGTTGCGTTCCTATGCTGATGTGCTATGGCAACCTGAAGTGATGTACTGATGTACGAAGTTCTACGTTGTAATTTACTGACTGACTGTTGATCTGGTATGTGAGTTAATTAATATTAGCTAACATTAACATAACAATAGATTTAGTGATTCAACTTGTCTTATATGCTAAGATTCTTTACATGTAGTGTATTTATTGATTTTTTTTAAATTTTTTGTTCGTGTCGTTTTGTTTTCTTTGTTTCATATATTTTGTATATTTTACTTCACTTTCATTTTATTCTATGAATATTACTAGATTGGTCAATGTACATCACTTAATATTTTGTCTCTTCGAGAAAATAATTTGCATAGATTACCTGATGAAATTGGTAATTGTACACGTTTACGAGTTCTAGATGTTTCTGGCAATAGGTAGGTTCACATATATTTTTCACCAATTGTTATCATGTTTATAATGTCAATTATATACTATAATTGTGCAGTAGGAGTGAGTTAAAACAAAACACACCTGTCAATGACAAATTTATATAGAAGGCGTCCATATGCACGATAGCGGTTGTTGATATTTTGTTCAATTAACCATTTTTATATTCAGTAGCGTAACAATCAGAAATCGGTTTCGAAATGCACAAAATATGTTAAAGGGTTAGGATGCTAAATACTTCTCCTGTGTATAAAAGTTTTCCAAATATTAACCCTGGATATGTATATATATATACATTCAAAAGCTGTAACAATAATGTATCTAAAAAAAATCCATAAGGAAGCTTGCGGTATATCTATTGTTCATAATGAAATGTTAAAACCACGTACTTTAGACAATACATTTCATGTAATTCCACTTATTGACCGTGATCTTTAATCACAGACTTGAAAATCTAATTTTTCTTTCGTGTAACATTGATTAAATGTAAAAACTAAACAACAGAACACTTGTGAACACCAATTCAAAGTACCACTTATCTTTTATTTTTTTAAAATCTTTAATCCATATTTCTGTACTCACTTAGTTTTCTTCCGGTTATTTTCAATCACGACAATATTTAAATAATCATTTGCGTGTTTTCTCACAAGATAAATAACAATTCCTATTCAGATTTTCATATATTGACTGTTTCAATAAAATAACATTTGATTTTTATTTTATTTAAAGGAGATTATTCTTTCTCATTGGTTTTATTTTTCAGTTGTTTTATTTATTATTGATTGTTCATTTCCATGGCCTACGCATGTTATATTCTTGAAATTAATTTTTTTTTTCGTTCTTAAGACTTGATCGATTACCGTTTAGTTTATCAAAATGCTCATTAACAGCTTTATGGCTTTCACAGAATCAATCTCAACCAGTGATTACATTGCAAAGAGATATAGATCCTATAACACAAGAACAATATCTAACAATGTTATTTACTACCACAAGATCAACTTGACTCACGTGTTGAAACTGGTAAGGTCTAGTTTCCAAGTTCAATACGTTTTTTTTGGTGTTATTATTATTATTATCATTATTATTAATATTAGCACACTTCAATAGCATGTCATTTGGCTCAATGACTGAAATAATCGATACACTCTAATACACTAGTGAATGTTAATCCATATGAGAAGTTTTAACTTAGCATACATAATCTAGTCCAATCTTTTCACTTATCATGGTTATGGTATATGAATATGCTACTGTTACGGTGAACATTCATATATATATATATATATATAAATATATATATATAAATAGAATGCACATGCTAAAACAGAGATATATACCGAAATGGGCATCATCATTTTTAATGAAGCAAATAATTGCATCTCACATGCATGCCGCTAATGTTTTATTCACAAACTATAGGTTGACAGATTATGATAGAGACAGGTTTGTTTGGTTTATAGGAGGTGACTTTTGGTCATGAATAGTTTATGTATGCTTCTTTTTTTTATCCTGAAGTAAATTTATAATAATCTCATTTTAGGACCTATATTTAATATTTATGTACTATTCAAGTGTATATATATATATATATATATATATATATATATATATATATGAATTGGAGGGCGATAAAAAATCGTTAGTGTAGTTTGTTAGAAAGATTAGTTATTGTATGTTTCTTGTTGTTTGAAATGTGTAGAATAAAGAAAGGAATTTGTTACACATCTGATGAGGAAATGTAGGGATCAATAATAAAATATATGAGTAAGATTAGAAAAATTGTCAGTTATTTACAATTCCAGAGCTGTTTAGTCAGTCAATCATAAATATGTCAGTTCTCTAAGGGGTCTGTCAATACCTGAATAGTTCGTTGGTAATATTACAATATAACAAGATTTATCGCTGTACGACGCGAATATGAATCTTAAGTACGCCATGTTATCGATTGCGAATTGGTATGTAACCTAGATTTTGTACTTCCTATCGACCACTCCAACTGCCTTATAAATGACAATAGTAAATTTAGTGAAAATCAGTCCATTTTACGTTATTGCGCTGTAACAAGTAACAAACCTATTGTTGTTATGACCCAGCGGTTAGATGCAGAGCTTGGCAGGAAAAGAGGTCTTTGCTAATCGTATTCAACACAAGCCTTACTGTTACGCTCGTCTCTAGATATGCACCAACTATTACGAGTTCATCTTAGTCGAATAACGAGAACAAAACAATGAACCAGCTTCCAGGTAGGCTACTGTGATCCCTTGACCAAAAAATCTTGATATAGTGTAGAAAGTGTATTCTGCAGACACCCGGCCTGCACCACACAATAAATCCAAGCACTCAATTTGTGTTTGTTTATACTCTATAGATATGTCCTTGTGACAGTCACAAAAATAGTACACCAAAAATGACAAAGTAACCAATCACAGCCGAAGATTTTCCTGGTGAGAAATAAGATCACAAGGTCAACTGATTGGTCCATCAAATAAATCCAAAATAAAGATTTTTATCAAGCGAGTTCTTGGGATCTAACATCCCCAACACTTAACTGAGACTCCTTTTATAATAATGAATATTGAGATTGTGTCGATTTCGTGACCTGCATTAAGTACTTTAGAAGGTTAACTTATTTAACTGTCCATCTTCCTAGTCACATCAAGCAGTGTTAATGAGATAATTTGAAGAATACTTGCAAGGGGTTCATAGAATAAAAATTAATGCTGTTTGATTAGCTTCCGTTGCTTGTATTGATGACACAATAAATAACAAGATTGGCACTCAATATATCAGCAAACAATCCGAACATTCTTCCTTAATTTCGTTACTTATTAGTACGGGATGCTATCCTTTTACGTAAGTGTTAAATCGTAAATATTTTTTTATTTAAATAAGACAGATGAACAGTTGCAAGTCAGTAGCTAATACACAACAAGTGTTGCTGTAACAATTGTAGCTAGTTTATGGTGTTCATATTCGATTGGTAAACCAGACTTAGAAATAGAAGAACCCAGATAATCACTTTGAAGTTGATATATATATATATATATATATATATGTATATATATATATATATATATATATATTGAGAAACTCCAAGTAAATTGTATGTCCGAGAATTCTGCATTGATTGCCGGTTTTCTATTTTTTTTTAATGATTTTGAATATTAGTGGGCTAATTTTATCTTAGCTATTGATTGTCCAGCTACAATTTCAGCAACGGTAGTAGTGCGATCGATTTCAAACATTCTCTTCTACGAATATCTTGAATTTATGAGACATAGGATGTTCGTAGCTATGAAATATCTTTTTTTATCGATGTCAGTCAGTCAGTCAGTTGCAATGTAGAACTTCGTACGTATTTACATATGTTCAAGTTGCCACACCACATTAACACAGAGACGTAAATGTCAAATCAAATCCCATAGTGATAGAGATAGTAGATATATTAATGGTAATGACGAAGACTAGGGTTTGAAGATATTCTTCAAGAAGTATAATTCAGTGAGATAAGGTTAGAAAGACAAAAGTAGAGATGCTGACGATTCCAGAAGATTAGGATTTGAGAGAGCCCAACGAATGGATACACTTGCGCCATTGCAAACGATTTTGAGCCATGTCGTTCAAGGTCTCTAACCATTTTTATCGATGTGATTCTCTTTTGATGATGTTTTGCATCCTACTCTTTGTAGTGTGTTTCATAAGCTAAAATATTCTTTATTATCTATGAATAACAATTTAACAGGATCTCGTTTTTTAGAATATTTCGTTTTGTCCATCTGAAAGCAACCTTTTAGTACAACAAAGTTTTCAATTTCGAAAGTTTATTATTTACGCCGAAGGTAATATTAGGTCAGTCATACTCTGTAAGTAAAAGGTAATAATCGGAATTAAGACTTATTTCCTCTATATTCAGCCTTTCTTAACAGTGATGGGGTTTTATACATTGAAAATGTAACGATTCATCTATACAAAATCTAAAAACCTCATGAATGTTTAAATGAATTTACTTAGTCTTTCATTTATTTGGATCGGGTTAAATCCTGAAACAAATTATTTTTTGACTTCACTCTCTAGTTGTAATGATATAAATTCCGATGGTTTATCCTGATTCTTTCTTTTAGTTGCACTATGCTTATAAAATCTTCAACGAATCACCGATACTGCGTAATTAGGCAAAGATTTCTCGCTGTTGACGTCTAAATTCATCTTCATTACCTTAAATCAGTGTCGGCTGAAATGTTAGGAAACTCTGATAATTCATTGTAGGAAATGCAGATAAATAACTGGTAAACGTGTGAAGAAAGGAATCATGAAAATCCACTCATTTCATCCTCAGGTTCTTACTCACTTTCATCTTAACTCACGTTGGTGAAATAAGTCATTCTGTGCTGTATTTTATCGAATTTCATGTTAATGCATACCTGAAAAAGTAGAAGATATTTTGGTCACACCCACATAACTAAAATTAGTAACTGTTACGCCTGCACGTAAACACGTCAACTTGATATACTTGAACTACTACGAGTTTACATTAGTCAGCGAGGATCGAGGATCCGGCCCACGACGCGTCATACTACTCAAATCCGATTATCCCAGCCCCCCAATTTGAGTAAAAATAAGAAGACATGATATGAAGTAGAATATGTATTCTACAAGCATCCAGAAAGTACGAGGTCCGAATCCAGAAGAAAGTCAGTTTCCCAGGCTAGGGATCCGGAACCGGGTCCTGGTCCCGGTCATAAAACGTTACAGATAATGCGTATTTATACATTTTGGTCGAATAGGAAACAGCATCGAAGTCTGTGACATTGACAGTTAAGACGATCAATAGGAAGCAACATTTGAAGTGACAATGATAGTCAGGACAACCAATAAGAAACAACATTGGAGTATGTGACATTGATATCTAGGACGACCATAAAATTGACCAGTAGTAATTAACCAATAGGAATTGACCAATAATTCTCTTAGGATATTGGATGAATATCCTAACAGTATCCTCATCTACGTTCTAAGAAGCTATGCTTGATGCCCATAAAATTCGGAATATTTCACAGCTCCTTTTCTGTTAGGAGTTTTTCCTTAGTCACCGGTTACGATAACTCTTAAATTCTTATACTCATTAATTTTATATAATGACATTCCATTTTTACTAGTTTTTTTTCGATCATTAAACATTTGAACTTCGTTTGTTTTTTTTAAAATCGCAATTTGAAGGTACCCACTTTTTTTAATTATTTTTTTTCTCTTATATTCCCTTCTAGATCCAACTATGTCACCATCTGAATTAGATAGTTTTTCTACTTCATTAAATCCTAACAGCAAACCAAATCATGATTTACTTGATAATATCAGTACAGAAATAAATCATGCTTATGAGCCTGCAGATATGCATATCTCACCATCAAAATATGAATCAACCAAACCATCGATTTCGCCGTCATCAACATTAAATGATAATTTAACAATGACAAATACACTTAGTTCATTAAACAATCCTAATTCAAATAATCCTACAACGAAAAATTTACCCTATTTAAATCCATCTACTATTCATTCACCATCAAATGTAAATGGTCATTTAGATTCATCCTGTACATCATCAAATCATATAAATGATCTTTCTACTTCATCTACACATTCATCTTTATCTATACCACCAACATCTGTATCAACTCGTGTTCATTTCTCCGGTTCAGTGAAACCTGATGAAATGGTATGATAAGTAGTGTTGTTGTTTTTGTGTGTGTGTGTGTTTCAGAAAACAAAAGGTCATTGAATTATTATTATTATTATTTAATTTTTACTGAAAGTATATTGAAATGTGATTAAAATATTGAATTTTATGGATTGTATAAATATTGGCGTTTATTGACTTGAGTATACCCTTCCTTCATAGTGCTTTCTATTCTGGATTAATCAACTATAATGTGTATGGATAAAATAAGGTTTGATACTAGTTGTCTTTTCATATATAATTTGGTTATATAGTTTCCTTCTGTATATCAACGTGGCATCAAATGCCCTGGTATAACAGAGTAGAGAGATTCCTTTCTCCCTCTCGAAATGCTCTCATATAGTCACATGTGTATAACCATTGTCAGGAAAGTCCTACACACAGGCTTCTCACGGCAGCGTTGTTTTTTACGAAAAGAAAGTTCCCAGTACTTTAACCGGATTAGTGGGTACGTAGGATCCATCTAGGGGAGTTGGAAAACCTTCATTCCAAACGAATAGTGCACATGAACTCAGATTGATGACGGAACAAATGGCGTATAGATCTATTGTTGATCACTGGCTACCATGAAACTGCATCTCCTGACGTCGATCCACTGTCGTTTGGATTCAACCTCTATGTACCGCTCGAGGAATGGTCCCACAGCCTGCTTCGGTTTTTGCACTCGGACATTATCCTAACCCACCCACCAATTCAATAATTTGTGTAGTGCATGAATATGCAGATGCCATTTTGTACCAGTGTTTATGCATAAATAACTTAAGACCAGTGTTATTTTCAATCATGCTTATCTAAAAATATCTTTTTGTCTTCACAAACTCTCTTGTCCGTTCAATACTATACTTTTATTATTATATTGGTCTTCTTGAATAGTATGATAAAACTATCACTTCGTAGATGAAGTGTCTATATGCATAATAACTGGATAAAGTCCAACCTCGAACAGTTCCGTTGCACTGTTTTTCTACATCTGAACTAATGGTATAACACTATGTTTACTCAACGTTCAACCCTATGTTTTTAATAGTGTTCACTTCCATATCTGAATCTTCAACAGTATTTATCACTTTACTTACAATTCAGTTGATATTCAAAATCTTTTTTTATGGGATTTACTTTATTCTCATATTGTTATTATTCTATTTATTTATTATTGTTATTACTATTCTTCTTGTCATTCATAGGACAAGTCGGCCTCTAAAGGTTTCCCAAAAACACGTCATCCTCGTTCCAGTAGAAAAACTGCAGATAATCATCTTATTAGTGGTAAAGATGACTTAAATCAACACGGAAATGTAAGTTAATTTTATTGATTATTCACTGTGAAAAAAAGCGTTTTTCATGTACTTAGATTATCTGATTCACTTACTATTGTTTGGTAATTTTTCGAAAGTTTTAAAAACAACTTTAATAACATTTGAGTTTGATTCAAGTTTTTCCCTTCAATCAATACAACTCCATATGGAAAATATGTTACATCTCATTCATCTTAAATAAAATAATTTCAATGGTTTAATATAATGTAGTGTATAGTAGTTGGAGACGTTAGATCCTCAGAACTCATTTAGAAAAGATCTTAATTTCGTAATTTGATTTTGAAATTTCGGATTTTATGTTTTCACCCCAAAGACGCTTATTTTGACTTTCAGCCTGCATTTCGCACTCGGGAAATCCTTGACTCTCATTGGTTGATGGATTATCTTAGGACGCTATTTTGTGGCTCTCACTAAGGACGTTTTATCACTGTATAAATAAGTTGTGTACTTGCGAACTTCGTACTTTCTGGGTACCTGTGGAATACATTTCTCTACGTCTTATCAAGACCTCTTCCTGTGGTTAGTGTGGCCTGGTACGATTGGATTAGAATAGCTTATCGTGTCACTGCATCGTTGATCTTCGTTCAGTTTTAACTGAGTAAGGTGAACTCGTAACGAAATATCAACTGGAATTTCGCCACCTATTATTCATTCACTACTAACTATACGTGAACTAAATAAAAAAATTTGTTCTTAATAAATTCAGACAAATTTTTTATTTAACTTCATGTAGATATCAATTGTTGTTGAATTTCAGTTTGACATAGAATCATCTATTCTTCTCGAGTATTTATTCTAACAAAGCAACAAAGTTTTTTATCAAACCTAAATATCTGTCACCATCTTGTTGAAATAAGCTTCAAGTCAAGTCGGATTACTTTACTTAATCATAACAACTAATAAAGTCTTTTACTGTTTTTCCATATGTTGCTAACAAACTTACTTCTTAATTATCTGGTCACTTCGTATTTTATAATGATTGCAAAGGATAGCCTTGTTCATATTGAAACTTTCATTATTTTTTTGTTGACTTAAGGCGTTCATTCTAACCTTGACTGGATGTAAACTCTTTTTCGTCCAGTGATCATAATTCAATGTTAATATATTTAACATTGAATTATGATCACTGGACGAAAAAGAGTTTACATCCAGTCAAGGTTAGAATGAACGCCTTAAGTCAACAAAAAAATAATGAAAGTTTCAATATGAACAAGGCTATCCTTTGCAATCATTATAAAATACGAAGTGACCAGATAATTAAGAAGTAAGTTTGTTAGCAACATATGGAAAAACAGTAAAAGACTTTATTAGTTGTTATGATTAAGTAAAGTAATCCGACTTGACTTGAAGCTTATTTCAACAAGATGGTGACAGATATTTAGGTTTGATAAAAAACTTTGTTGCTTTGTTAGAATAAATACTCGAGAAGAATAGATGATTCTATGTCAAACTGAAATTCAACAACAATTGATATCTACATGAAGTTAAATAAAAAATTTGTCTGAATTTATTAAGAACAAATTTTTTTATTTAGTTCACGTATAGTTAGTAGTGAATGAATAATAGGTGGCGAAATTCCAGTTGATATTTCGTTACGAGTTCACCTTACTCAGTTAAAACTGAACGAAGATCAACGATGCAGTGACACGATAAGCTATTCTAATCCAATCGTACCAGGCCACACTAACCACAGGAAGAGGTCTTGATAAGACGTAGAGAAATGTATTCCACAGGTACCCAGAAAGTACGAAGTTCGCAAGTACACAACTTATTTATACAGTGATAAAACGTCCTTAGTGAGAGCCACAAAATAGCGTCCTAAGATAATCCATCAACCAATGAGAGTCAAGGATTTCCCGAGTGCGAAATGCAGGCTGAAAGTCAAATAAGCGTCTTTGGGGTGAAAACATAAAATCCGAAATTTCAAAATCAAATTACGAAATTAAGATCTTTTCTAAATGAGTTCTGAGGATCTAACGTCTCCAACTACTATACACTACATTATATTAAACCATTGAAATTATTTTATTTAAGATGAATGAGATGTAACATATTTTCCATATGGAGTTGTATTGATTGAAGGGAAAAACTTGAATCAAACTCAAATGTTATTAAAGTTGTTTTTAAAACTTTCGAAAAATTACCAAACAATAGTAAGTGAATCAGATAATCTAAGTACATGAAAAACGCTTTTTTTCACAGTGAATAATCAATAAAATTAACTTACATTTCCGTGTTGATTTAAGTCATCTTTACCACTAATAAGATGATTATCTGCAGTTTTTCTACTGGAACGAGGATGACGTGTTTTTGGGAAACCTTTAGAGGCCGACTTGTCCTATGAATGACAAGAAGAATAGTAATAACAATAATAAATAAATAGAATAATAACAATATGAGAATAAAGTAAATCCCATAAAAAAAGATTTTGAATATCAACTGAATTGTAAGTAAAGTGATAAATACTGTTGAAGATTCAGATATGGAAGTGAACACTATTAAAAACATAGGGTTGAACGTTGAGTAAACATAGTTGTTATACCATTAGTTCAGATGTAGAAAAACAGTGCAACGGAACTGTTCGAGGTTGGACTTTATCCAGTTATTATGCATATAGACACTTCATCTACGAAGTGATAGTTTTATCATACTATTCAAGAAGACCAATATAATAATAAAAGTATAGTATTGAACGGACAAGAGAGTTTGTGAAGACAAAAAGATATTTTTAGATAAGCATGATTGAAAATAACACTGGTCTTAAGTTATTTATGCATAAACACTGGTACAAAATGGCATCTGCATATTCATGCACTACACAAAATTATTGAATTGGTGGGTGGGTTAGGATAATGTCCGAGTGCAAAAACCGAAGCAGGCTGTGGGACCATTCCTCGAGCGGTACATAGAGGTTGAATCCAAACGACAGTGGATCGACGTCAGGAGATGCAGTTTCATGGTAGCCAGTGATCAACAATAGATCTATACGCCATTTGTTCCGTCATCAATCTGAGTTCATGTGCACTATTCGTTTGGAATGAAGGTTTTCCAACTCCCCTAGATGGATCCTACGTACCCACTAATCCGGTTAAAGTACTGGGAACTTTCTTTTCGTAAAAAACAACGCTGCCGTGAGAAGCCTGTGTGTAGGACTTTCCTGACAATGGTTATACACATGTGACTATATGAGAGCATTTCGAGAGGGAGAAAGGAATCTCTCTACTCTGTTATACCAGGGCATTTGATGCCACGTTGATATACAGAAGGAAACTATATAACCAAATTATATATGAAAAGACAACTAGTATCAAACCTTATTTTATCCATACACATTATAGTTGATTAATCCAGAATAGAAAGCACTATGAAGGAAGGGTATACTCAAGTCAATAAACGCCAATATTTATACAATCCATAAAATTCAATATTTTAATCACATTTCAATATACTTTCAGTAAAAATTAAATAATAATAATAATAATTCAATGACCTTTTGTTTTCTGAAACACACACACACACAAAAACAACAACACTACTTATCATACCATTTCATCAGGTTTCACTGAACCGGAGAAATGAACACGAGTTGATACAGATGTTGGTGGTATAGATAAAGATGAATGTGTAGATGAAGTAGAAAGATCATTTATATGATTTGATGATGTACAGGATGAATCTAAATGACCATTTACATTTGATGGTGAATGAATAGTAGATGGATTTAAATAGGGTAAATTTTCGTTGTAGGATTATTTGAATTAGGATTGTTTAATGAACTAAGTGTATTTGTCATTGTTAAATTATCATTTAATGTTGATGACGGCGAAATCGATGGTTTGGTTGATTCATATTTTGATGGTGAGATATGCATATCTGCAGGCTCATAAGCATGATTTATTTCTGTACTGATATTATCAAGTAAATCATGATTTGGTTTGCTGTTAGGATTTAATGAAGTAGAAAAACTATCTAATTCAGATGGTGACATAGTTGGATCTAGAAGGGAATATAAGAGAAAAAAAATAATTAAAAAAAGTGGGTACCTTCAAATTGCGATTTTAAAAAAAAACAAACGAAGTTCAAATGTTTAATGATCGAAAAAAAACTAGTAAAAATGGAATGTCATTATATAAAATTAATGAGTATAAGAATTTAAGAGTTATCGTAACCGGTGACTAAGGAAAAACTCCTAACAGAAAAGGAGCTGTGAAATATTCCGAATTTTATGGGCATCAAGCATAGCTTCTTAGAACGTAGATGAGGATACTGTTAGGATATTCATCCAATATCCTAAGAGAATTATTGGTCAATTCCTATTGGTTAATTACTACTGGTCAATTTTATGGTTGTCCTAGATATCAATGTCACATACTCCAATGTTGTTTCTTATTGGTTGTCCTGACTATCATTGTCACTTCAAATGTTGCTTCCTACTGATCGTCTTAACTGTCAATGTCACAGACTTCGATGCTGTTTCCTATTCGACCAAAATGTATAAATACGCATTATCTGTAACGTTTTATGACCGGGACCAGGACCCGGTCCCGGATCTCTAGTCTGGGATCCTGATTCTTTTCTGGATTCGGACCCCGTACTTTCTGGATGCTTGTAGAATACAGGTTCTACTTCATATCACGTCTTCTTATTTTAACTAAATTTGGGGGGCTGGGATAATCGGATTTGAGTAGTATGTCGTGTCGCCGGATCCTCGATCCTCGCTGACTAAGGTAAACTCGTAGTAGTTCGAGTATATCAAGTTGACGTGTTTACGTGCAGGCGTAACAGTTACTAATTTTAGTTATGTGGGTGTGACCAAAATATCTTCTACTTTTTCAGGTATGCATTAACATGAAATTCGATAAAATACAGCACAGAATGACTTATTTCACCAACGTGAGTTAAGATGAAAGTGAGTAAGAACCTGAGGATGAAATGAGTGGATTTTCATGATTCCTTTCTTCACACGTTTACCAGTTATTTATCTGCATTTCCTACAATGAATTATCAGAGTTTCCTAACATTTCAGCCGACACTGATTTAAGGTAATGAAGATGAATTTAGACGTCAACAGCGAGAAATCTTTGCCTAATTACGCAGTATCGGTGATTCGTTGAAGATTTTATAAGCATAGTGCAACTAAAAGAAAGAATCAGGATAAACCATCGGAATTTATATCATTACAACTAGAGAGTGAAGTCAAAAAATAATTTGTTTCAGGATTTAACCCGATCCAAATAAATGAAAGACTAAGTAAATTCATTTAAACATTCATGAGGTTTTTAGATTTTGTATAGATGAATCGTTACATTTTCAATGTATAAAACCCCATCACTGTTAAGAAAGGCTGAATATAGAGGAAATAAGTCTTAATTCCGATTATTACCTTTTACTTACAGAGTATGACTGACCTAATATTACCTTCGGCGTAAATAATAAACTTTCGAAATTGAAAACTTTGTTGTACTAAAAGGTTGCTTTCAGATGGACAAAACGAAATATTCTAAAAAACGAGATCCTGTTAAATTGTTATTCATAGATAATAAAGAATATTTTAGCTTATGAAACACACTACAAAGAGTAGGATGCAAAACATCATCAAAAGAGAATCACATCGATAAAAATGGTTAGAGACCTTGAACGACATGGCTCAAAATCGTTTGCAATGGCGCAAGTGTATCCATTCGTTGAGCTATCTCAAATCCTAATCTTTCGGAATCGTCAGCACCTCTACAGTTGTCTTGCTAACCTTATCTTACTGAATTATACTTCTTGAATAATATCTTCAAACCCTAGTCTTCTTCATTACCATTAATATCTCTACTATCTTTATCACTATGGGATTTGATTTGACATTTGCGTCTCTGTGTTAATGTGGTGTGGCAACTTGAACATATGTAAATACGTACGAAGTTCTACATTGCAACTGACTGACTGACTGACATCGATAAAAAAAAGATATTTCATAGCTACGAACATCCTATGTCTCATAAATTCAAGATATTCGTAGAAGAGAATGTTTGAAATCGATCGCACTACTACCGTTGCTGAAATTGTAGCTGGACAATCAATAGCTAAGATAAAATTAGCCCACTAATATTCAAAATCATTAAAAAAAAATAGAAAACCGGCAATCAATGCAGAATTCTCGGACATACAATTTACTTGGAGTTTCTCAATATATATATATATATATATACATATATATATATATATATATATATATCAACTTCAAAGTGATTATCTGGGTTCTTCTATTTCTAAGTCTGGTTTACCAATCGAATATGAACACCATAAACTAGCTACAATTGTTACAGCAACACTTGTTGTGTATTAGCTACTGACTTGCAACTGTTCATCTGTCTTATTTAAATAAAAAAATATTTACGATTTAACACTTACGTAAAAGGATAGCATCCCGTACTAATAAGTAACGAAATTAAGGAAGAATGTTCGGATTGTTTGCTGATATATTGAGTGCCAATCTTGTTATTTATTGTGTCATCAATACAAGCAACGGAAGCTAATCAAACAGCATTAATTTTTATTCTATGAACCCCTTGCAAGTATTCTTCAAATTATCTCATTAACACTGCTTGATGTGACTAGGAAGATGGACAGTTAAATAAGTTAACCTTCTAAAGTACTTAATGCAGGTCACGAAATCGACACAATCTCAATATTCATTATTATAAAAGGAGTCTCAGTTAAGTGTTGGGGATGTTAGATCCCAAGAACTCGCTTGATAAAAATCTTTATTTTGGATTTATTTGATGGACCAATCAGTTGACCTTGTGATCTTATTTCCCACCAGGAAAATCCTTGGCTGTGATTGGTTACTGTGTCGTTTTAGTGTGCTATTTTTGTGACTGTCACAAGGACGTTTCTATAGAGTATAAATAAACGCAAATTGAGTGCTTGGATTCATTGTGTGTGCTGGCTGGGTGTTTGAAGAATACAATTTCTACACTATATCAAGACTTCTTGCTGATACCCTTTGGTCAAGAGATCACAGTAGCCTACCTGGACACTGGTTCATTGTTTTGTTCTCGTTATTCGACTAAGATGAACTCGTAATAGTTGGTGCATATCTAGAGACGAGCGTAACAGTAAGGCTTGTGTTGAATACGATTAGCAAAGACCTCTTTTCCTGCCAAGCTCTGCATCTAACGCTGGGTCATAACAACAATAGGTTTGTTACTTGTTACAGCGCAAAAACGTAAAATGGAATGATTTTCACTAAATTTACTATTGTCATTTATAAGGCAGTTGGAGTGGTCGATAGGAAGTACAAAATCTAGGTTACATACCAATTCGCAATCGATAACATGGCGTACTTAAGATTCATATTCGCGTCGTACAGCGATAAAACTTGTTATATTGTAATATTACCAACGAACTATTCAGGTATTGACAGACCCCTTAGAGAACTGACATATTTATGATTGACTGACTAACAGCTCTGTAACGAATCAATTGTAAATAACTGACAATTTTTCTAATCTTACTCATATATTTTATTATTGATCCCTACATTTCCTCATCAGATGTGTAACAAATTCCTTTCTTTATTCTACACATTTCAAACAACAAGAAACATACAATAACTAATCTTTCTAACAAACTACACTAACGATTTTTATCGCCCTCCAATTCATATATATATATATATATATATATATATATATATATATACACTTGAATAGTACATAAATATTAAATATAGGTCCTAAAATGAGATTATTATAAATTTACTTCAGGATAAAAAAAAGAAGCATACATAAACTATTCATGACCAAAAGTCACCTCCTATAAACCAAACAAACTGTCTCTATCATAATCTGTCAACCTATAGTTTGTGAATAAAACATTAGCGGCATGCATGTGAGATGCAATTATTTGCTTCATTAAAAATGATGATGCCCATTTCGGTATATATCTCTGTTTAGCATGTGCATTTATATATATATATATATATATATATATATATATATATATATATATATATATATATATATATATATATATATATATGAATGTTCACTGTAACAGTAGCATATTCATATACCATAACCATGATAAGTGAAAAGATTGGACTAGATTATGTATGCTAAGTTAAAACTTCTCATATGGATTAACATTCACTAGTGTATTAGAGTGTATCGATTATTTCAGTCATTGAGCCAAATGACATGCTATTGAAGTGTGCTAATATTAATAATAATGATAATAATAATAATAACACCAAAAAAAACGTATTGAACTTGGAAACTAGACCTTACCAGTTTCAACACGTGAGTCAAGTTGATCTTGTGGTAGTAAATAACATGTTAGATATTGTTCTTGTGTTATAGGATCTATATCTCTTTGCAATGTAATCACTGGTTGAGATTGATTCTGTGAAAGCCATAAAGCTGTTAATGAGCATTTTGATAAACTAAACGGTAATCGATCAAGTCTTAAGAACGAAAAAAAAAATTAATTTCAAGAATATAACATGCGTAGGCCATGGAAATGAACAATCAATAATAAATAAAACAACTGAAAAATAAAACCAATGAGAAAGAATAATCTCCTTTAAATAAAATAAAAATCAAATGTTATTTTATTGAAACAGTCAATATATGAAAAACTGAATAGGAATTGTTATTTATCTTGTGAGAAAACACGCAAATGATTATTTAAATATTGTCGTGATTGAAAATAACCGGAAGAAAACTAAGTGAGTACAGAAATATGGATTAAAGATTTTAAAAAAATAAAAGATAAGTGGTACTTTGAATTGGTGTTCACAAGTGTTCTGTTGTTTAGTTTTTACATTTAATCAATGTTACACGAAAGAAAAATTAGATTTTCAAGTCTGTGATTAAAGATCACGGTCAATAAGTGGAATTACATGAAATGTATTGTCTAAAGTACGTGGTTTTAACATTTCATTATGAACAATAGATATACCGCAAGCTTCCTTATGGATTTATTTTAGATACATTATTGTTACAGCTTTTGAATGTATATATATATACATATCCAGGGTTAATATTTGGAAAACTTTTATACACAGGAGAAGTATTTAGCATCCTAACCCTTTAACATATTTTGTGCATTTCGAAACCGATTTCTGATTGTTACGCTACTGAATATAAAAATGGTTAATTGAACAAAATATCAACAACCGCTATCGTGCATATGGACGCCTTCTATATAAATTTGTCATTGACAGGTGTGTTTTGTTTTAACTCACTCCTACTGCACAATTATAGTATATAATTGACATTATAAACATGATAACAATTGGTGAAAAATATATGTGAACCTACCTATTGCCAGAAACATCTAGAACTCGTAAACGTGTACAATTACCAATTTCATCAGGTAATCTATGCAAATTATTTTCTCGAAGAGACAAAATATTAAGTGATGTACATTGACCAATCTAGTAATATTCATAGAATAAAATGAAAGTGAAGTAAAATATACAAAATATATGAAACAAAGAAAACAAAACGACACGAACAAAAAATTTAAAAAAAATCAATAAATACACTACATGTAAAGAATCTTAGCATATAAGACAAGTTGAATCACTAAATCTATTGTTATGTTAATGTTAGCTAATATTAATTAACTCACATACCAGATCAACAGTCAGTCAGTAAATTACAACGTAGAACTTCGTACATCAGTACATCACTTCAGGTTGCCATAGCACATCAGCATAGGAACGCAACTGTCAGTTCAAATCCAACAGTGGTAGAAATAGTAGAAGTATTAGCGGTAATGGAGAAGATTAGTGTTTCAAGATATTATTCGAGAAGTATAATTCGGTGATATAACTTCAGAAAGCGAAAGATGGAGATGATTAAAAATTCAGAAGGTTAGAATTTGAGAGAACACAAAGAGTGGATGCACCTGCATCATTGCAAACGATTTCGAGCTATGTTTTTTCAAGGTCCCTAACCATCGGTTACTATCGTTTCGCGGACCCCAGCCAGGTCACCATTATCAACAGCAACGTAGAATTTTGCATATAAGTACAGCAGTTCAAATTGTCATACCACATTAGCACTGAGATATAATAGTCAATTCAAATCCCATGGTAGTAGAGTTAGTAAAACTATTGGAAGCAATCGGAGAGATTAGAGTTCGAAGGTGTTATTCAAGAAGTATAATTCAGTGAGATATATTCAGAAAGAGAAAGATAGAGGTGATGAGAACTTCAAAAGGTTAGGACTTGAGAGAACACAAAGAATGTATGCATCTGCGCCATTTCAAACGGTTTTGAGCCATGTCACTCAGGGTCTCGACCCCATCCAGGTAGTCTGCATCTACCAACATGACTCAGTCCATTTGTGAGTGACTTCATGGATTTGTGCCATGTTTTGGTTTGGCCGCCCCTAGCTTTAGAGTGAACGCTTGAACAGCTGCAGATACATCCAGCTAACGAGTCCTAAATACAACTAAACGCAAGTGCTGGATTTCAAAAACGGCGTTGTAAAAATATGTAGCAATTTACAAACAAATTAATTTGACTAGCATTAATAAATTACGGATACAATAATAAAACGTAGTTTCTAAAAGAGTATTTCGTTTGAAACTTCGTTCTAATAGAACATTCGACAGGATAGAGATATGATATACCCTAATTCATATATCAAAGCTCTATCCAGCAGACAACACGGTTTCGACATCCAGTTTATCCATATTAGGCAACAGATGCCTAGAAAGTGAAGTACGTTTCTATTTTTCATGATGTTCGTTTTATTTACATGTTTAGCCTTTAATGACACAAGACGTATGTAAAGAAATGCTTCAATGAAAACAAATCTTATCATAAAAGTAAAACCAATAATAAATGGATATGATCCATACAGCAGTAAAAGAGAAAATAAATGGATTATAAAATGCAAATATTTAGCTGTTATCAAGAACATCAGTGAGAAGATAACAAAACATCATGACAGAATTGCTTACCTCAGCGGGCAACTCAGTTAGTTGATTTTGATCTACATTCAAATGAAACATGGAAGCTAAATTGCCAATAGAAGGTGGGAGTTTCTAAAATACATTTAAATAATACTATATATTAGGATAATATAGAGAAGAATATTTACTTTTCGACAATATCATTTACTTAAACTGTACAATTGTATTTCTAATTAATTTACAAATAAAATAATCTAATGAAAGATAGATAAAAGATTACAACAGATCATGCGTCAAAGAACATTGCCGAATAATTGGGATTAGAAGAGAGATAATAATAATAATAATATATCTAAACCAATAAATGGTTACAGGCGTGTGCAAACTTCATGAGCAGTTATCTCTGTTAGAGCTGCAAGCGTAATATATTCACGGATCATGAAAATATTCCGTAGAAAGAAAAATCCGGCAAATACAAGTAGCTTATTCATATTTTTTTTAATCTGTTGAAGTTACGTATTGGAAGACAGCACATAGAGTCCGTTGCACGTATACATTCACAGACAACTACATAAAAAACATTTGTATCACTAATGGATGTCTATAAAAATTATCCCAGTGACTGATAACAGAATGATATACATGGAAAACAAATCGACAAACTACAAAGAGAATGATCCTAATTGAGAAAAGATCTAAGCAATATGGTTGACTAAGTTCAATCATCTACGTAAATAAACATCAAGCAACAAATATTTCAAAATGTTTCTACCGAATGTGTCAATCATAAAAAATAGTAGACAGTTCATAAATGATGAAACTTTGTTTAACTGCAAGAAACATATTTGTGTACGTGGTAGGTAATCAAGAAAATCTTAAAATTATCACAATGTGTTAGTGGCTAATTTCCTAATCCAATCAGCGCCTGATCGATTCTTGGAGAACAGGGTAGTAAATTCTCGTGTTGTTAGCTGCACTCTGATTGGCTAAATCTAATCCAGTCGATCACGTGAATTACTATCCAGAAGCTTCTTATGTAAATACTATTAAAAAACTAACGTTGTATCTATTTTTGCCTTCTCCTTCGGCTTCTTATTTCCATTTAACCTTGCTATTTGGAATATAATCTTTTCCTGTTCCACCGTGTTTCGATTCTTTGGAACTTGTTTAGTGTATTGTGGTCAGAGAATACTAAGCAATAGGAATTAGTTTGGAATTATCTAAGCAAGCGTTACAACACAATGAAAGAAAAAAAAATCCTAAAACAATCACATAGTAACGAAGTGTCAAGTGTAACAATCGGACACAACCATGACGATGAATTTAATCTGAACGAATATTCATGTTACAGCCTACTTGAATAAATTTGGCACAAAGATCAAATATACTTCACTCATATGTCACATACGCACATTTAAACAAAAACTTATTTTTATCTATAAAGCTGTTATAAAAACGGAATCAATACAGTTTATTTCTATAGAATTATGGTAACTTAATTTCAGTACACATATATATTCAAGAGATTAACGATTGTACCTACACAAATTTGTATTGTGCTATATACGTACATATGTATAAGCAATCAAAATGTGTGATTGACAAATTGATATAAACTGATTTCGATTGAGAGTAACATATGATTTACTTAATCAGAGAGTTTCTTTTTCCTGCAACTTTGACACATAGTGTTATGTAGTTTATTCCCTTTACGAACTTGACTAAAGTCACAAAATAACAACGGAGACGGAATAAGAAAGACATCCGCATTTTGTTCTCTTACAATTGCTCTAATTATTATGTTAAGCTGGCTTTTGACTGAGTGTTTAGGAAATCAGTAGCAGAATATCAATGAAGTTAAAAAGTTTACATTATTTTCAACAGTGCCTGAATCATGGCTGCTTCACTCACCAAATATTTGAAGCTTTACGTGCACGTATACTTCCTTCGTCAGAAAATCTACCACGTGTCACTTAATCCTAAATCCCATACACCAAAGAAATTATCTCTAAACTCAAAATTGAATCTTTTGCTTTTGATTGAATTGTTATGCAATTAAATATCGTATATTTGAACCAAACTGCTAAATTACATTCAAAATTTTCAGTTAACCCTAATCAGCCTAAAAAAACAAATTAAAAGTATTAACATATACTTACAGAAAGAAAATTTTCAGTCAAGTATAATTCTTGTAAACTTGAACAGCTGAAATCAACAGAAGAAAGGTATATTTTTGATAAAGAAAAATCAGTGTTAAGTATTGAACATAACCAAAATGATAAATTACAATTTAATAAAATAAAATAGAAAGATTGGTACCACAACAATAAAAAGTAATAATTCAAAGGGATCGCGTTAGAAAGAAATTTTACACATAGTTTAGTGGTTTCCCATTAATGAATTTCGAAACTAAATGTTACTTCAACTACGCCGGTATATTCAGTCCGGTAGTATCATAATAGCCAATACAGATAAACGTATCTCAGAGTCTAGTACATGAACGTGTAATAGGTTCGCTTGATGAGAAAAATATCTCATATCAGTTGAGTTTCAACCAAGCTTGTGTGGGTGTTATCCATCATTATTTATCACGAACGTTACAGTATTGAGAAGTAATTATGGATTTAACTACAGGAGAATTGGATAAAGTCAGGGATTAACAGTGCATTACATTATATGAAGAATGAATAGAAGAACATATCCTCAACTAATAAAGCATTTTTGGTTACTATTGTATTTAAATAAAGATTCGAACTCTCAACTGCCCAAAGGATATTATACAGTAGCAACATCGAAAAGGAACAACAAAATAGTCCATAACATTAATTAAAACATTTGAGAAAGACATACTGAATGCATAACTCAACTGTTGCATTATCAGTGGTCAGTCAACCGATGATTTTTAACTTTCCACTCAATACTCATTTAATAGAAACTATTCAAGTTTAAGCTTGGTATAGATACTTACAAATTCATTCATATCTCGAAGAATCGTCAGTATGTGACACTGAGATCAATTAAAAGCCTGTACTCCTAATGGAATATATCTTATGCCCAGAACAACCCATCCACACACTGTTAATGATCTCGCTTATTCGTATTCTCGCTATCTTACTGGTTAGTATTCTTCGACATTGTACAATGTTCAACTGGTCCCCAAAATCAGAACAGGTGGTTCATCATATCCTAACAAACTAAGCTGAATACAAAGGAATCATTGTAATGAAAACGCTACTATATTTACAATCTTTACACAAGAATGTTCTTGAACCTTCTCTAACTATTTGCTAGTGCTAATCGCGCATTCTTAGACAAATGACATGCCTCAATTTAATCCCTGCATTGGGCATGCTTTAATCTAATATATATATGTATATATATATATATATATATATATATTCTGCTAATAGATGCAGATCCGAACAACAATGAACACAATTAATGAAAACCGAAAAGTTATTTATTAAATCAGGATACCAAGCAACTACTTAGCAACGGAACTCTAATAGTCAATCATGTTTCCAAGTTTATACTATTGAACGATCTTGTGTCTAGTCTAATGATGAAAATCACATGCCAAACTGATTAATGCAGAGAAATAAATATCACCAACAAAATCATGAATACATCTGCCAAAAAAACTGTTCTTTTAGTAGAAATAAAAATTTTTAAAAATGATCAAAAGTATAATAAAACGAAAAACGATGAAACATCACAGGAAAATAGAAAAAAAAGTCACATGACAATCAAGTAACAGTGAAATCTAACCAATGCAAACATATTAACAGAGGGAGGTATTTTATGTATAAATGTACCAGTGACTGGTTTGTAATACAACAACAATACATTGCATGAATTGAATATAAAAGTAGACACCTGTGGAAATAGCACACAATAGTTAAAGTTAATAAGTGTAAACATAAAAAAAAACAACGATCTAAGCAACCTGAAACCTGGCACAAATGTGTATGATTTTAAAGTGTCAGAATTTACATCAGTACACAGTGAAAACTGACATGAAGAAAACAGAATCGAAATAAATATCTTATATATTTACTTAATTACGCCTTTTACCCCCCAATGGAGCAATAAATAACAGTACAACAAAATAATTTAAAAAAATAAAGCAGCCTGTTTACAGGATGGAATGACCACACACTATAAATGATCGACAATCAGGAGCAACTTTTATTACTCTCCGTATATATATATATATATATATATATATATATATATATATATACATATATATACAGGTGTAATTTTCGACTTACTTTCCTATAGTCGGTGTCACCGTAAGCAGTCGATTTTGATTGAGTTTTAGAATAATCAACTTTTTCAAATCACCTTGAAAATGAAAATAATGATAATAGATGGAAAAAATTTAATTAGAACTAACATGACGCTTAAGGAATCTGTATACATATAAAAACAAATGAAATTCAAGCATATTTTATCTTTAATGACACACTACAAATTTTTTTGCTTGTTTACATTCACGACTACTGAATATATATATATATATATATATATATATATATATATATATATATATATATATATATATATATATATTATTAAGCAAACTTTTGTATTACCAATATGATAATCTGAGTAGAATATGCTAACTTCAAAAGGTGACATATCTTCCGACTGACTGAACATGATTCTTCCAAACGCTTTCAAAGGAACATTGACTGCAGCTCTGACGATGTTGTTCCTTACTGGATCTAAATTTACCAAGACCTCAAACAACTAAGTTCTTTAATATTTATTTGTCGATTTATCTACTCTGGTAGAGCAAGGTATACTAGTTGTTCGATAAAACTTTTTCCAAGAGCGTTTAGACGATACAAATCATGAAATCAAAAGATTCATTTCACGGTTCTCTACAAATTGACTACAAGCCTGTCAAAAAACGATATGCTTATTCTCTTTGGTTTGTTAAAGCCCTTGTATAAATAAAGAAACATGAACTATGCATAAAAAAAAACCTTGCTCATCATCATATCTTACTATGTAATTAACCAGTAAAATGTTTGATTACAAAGTATGTTTTATGTCTTATTTTTACCTTATACAAATCATTCTCACTGTCTGTTCAGTTGTTGAATTCAAAATCCAATCAAACTATCATTCGCATGAAAATTTCTAATACGATTTATTTCCAAAACTAACATCGTCATATTGTGTAACTCGATTCCACAGTTATCGTTTTCGTTTTTGGTTCAACTTTTAAAAACGAGTGCACATTATTGAATTTTGTTGTTATAACTGATCATTGTTATCATAAATCATCCCCGTTAAATTATAAATATTCCATGTTAGTGATAATGTAGTAATAATTAGATTAGCTCAAATCTAGAAACATCGTTCTATTCATTATATCTTTTCCCTTGTGTAATCTAATCCCAATCAGAAGTGGTCAGATGAAAAGGCTATTCGATGACCATCAAAAAATGTCTTAAAGAACGGATACAGATCGTTAGTTCAAAAAAATGGCTTCTTGTTCTAAGATGGAATATATATATATATATATATATATATATATATATATATATATATAAACGAGTATCCGTACATATGGTTCGGCAGCCAAATATACTTTCTCTTCTGTTCGTGCTTCCTCGCTCAAGTAGCCAGTTTGGGGATGTGTATCACAATTAGACCTTGGATGCCGCACGTCATAACGAAAATCTAGTTTTTTTAGTGCATCAATTCGAATCATCGGTATGCTTACTTATTGTCTATCAGATACGATTGCAGATATAAGAATGAAAATGCCTAACGACAGAATATTAAAATAAGGATCTTCTGTACAGAATAATTAGGTGACCATAATGTCATATAATTATGTTGAACAGATACGAAATATTAGTAAAAATAAAACTGAGTGAGTTACATCATCAATAGTAGCAAAAATAAACTACAATTTATAGTTATACAGTTTCTTACCTAAGCCATTCGGTAAATGTGTTATAGTATTTTGTGATAAATTTAAGTCCGACAATGAAACCAATCCTGAAATGCTTTCAGGTAGAGAAGAAATAAGGTTTTCTGATAGATCCAATTGCTGTAAATTCCCAAGATTTCCCAGCTCCTTAAAGTTTGGTTTTTTCACACACCAAAACACAAATTCAATGTGAATCAAAGTGAAAATAATTGAAATATAATAGTTTATATACTACGATTTACAGCTTATCCTTGTTATTATGTAAGAGAAATGTATGTGCAATACAATGGTGAAAAGAGGCAATAACACAAGAAACACAAATATCTAGCTTTTCCCACGCTACCATTCTTATTAGTGGTTGGAATCAGTTGGTGACACAGCTCGGAATCAGTCATAATGGAGCGGATGCATCATCTCTGCCTTCCATTGGATCGTAAGTTTTAAAATGATCTTATTCGGTAAATTCATTCTTTTGTTCTCTCGAAACGTTTTGTTTACACTCAATTTTTTTTTGCACCTCTGACCTTTCTTACTTCTTTTGTTATTCTACTATTTATCTACTTCACTTAAACAGAACTGATAACGCGTAAATTCTTAAAACAGAAAGCACACAGATACATATAGGATTTAATACAACAGTACTGTCTGCAATGGTTATTAAGAATAAAACACTATGTAGAGAATCTTTATTCACGTAGGTAGGATGTTGTTCATATTAGGCACATCTAATTAGTATTTTCACGGTTAAGAAGTAACATAATGTTAAACCATAGAAGACCTTGCGGAATACTTTAGGTGATCATTTGAATTCCACATCACAGACAGTGAAGATTCAGTTAAGGATAATTTATCTTCACAATTCGGTCTCTATTTTGTTACGAATTACTTTGAGGTTAACGAAGCTTACGGGAAATTCTGAAACCGTGTACTTAGATAAGCTTGTTGGACAATCTGTGGATGGAAAGCCTTTCCAAGCGACATAGCATCAAAGTAATCGAACCATACTAACTATGAAGTAGTAACTGTAGAAACAATATATAGTCAGCACCGAAATTTCCATGTTGTTTGATTAGTCTACAAAAGGTTTTTAAATTATGGCGAAAAACTTATAAATGCGACAGCATAAACAGTACGGAGACTTAATAACGTGAAGAAACAAAATTATTAATATTCCAGCAGCCAACATCATACATTGTTACAAATCTGCCCTGAGTTTTATCCATAAGTCTCTATACAAAACCCATGAAACAAAACAATTGATTGACATACTGAGCTGAATGGTCATTCACATTTGTAATATTGTAAAGTGAAATAATGATTTGTATTGTAAGCATTGTCGTGTGACCTAAAAGTATGTCGATCAGATTAGACACACATTTAAGCACTACAGTACGAAAAACTAGCAAAGTAAAATACTAGTGATAATTATATGAAATACTAATAGAGGACCAAAAAAACAGAAGACAAGCAGTTACTATGACAGAGGTAACAAAAAAGTATAGAATAAAAGAAAAGCAAGGTAAAATGTACATTCACTCATTGGATTGTAATTAAGGTTCAATCAAGTCAGGTCAATAAAAGTATCCAATGGAGGATTCCTAATATTTCAAAAACTTTAGTGTATCTGAGAAATGTAATCCAGAATGGTATATTAAAAAAACATGATATATGCAGCTATTTTAAAAATAGGGCAAATTAACAGCCAAATACAAACACGTTGATTGAATGAAACAGGTGTTAGGTAATGAAATCAAAATATATATAAGATTTAAAAAGGAGAATGAACATTTCCAAGAAAAGAATCAGCAAATCAATTTTACTCTTAGTACATTAGATAATAAATGTCACACATGCCATAAACAAATATAGATATATCTGTATTAGACTATGATACTATACTTCAGTATGATGGAAAGAAATTGGCAAAAACATAGAGCAAAGGCTAAGACTAATGGAAAATAATTTAAAGTAAATGAATGAAATTAGAGAATGAACAGAATCAGGCAATGGCACGTTTATAGCTTAGGAGAAAATAATAAATAAGTACACCTGAGCCAGTGCGATCAACTAGCACTATGACTGAACTAGTACAGTTTATTTAGCATTAATCAATAACTGTCGAGAATCAAATATTACGTCACATTGATCAGATAACTTTATACTATAAATAACTCCGTTTTTACAGACACAAAAGATATTAAGTTTCCACTAATATGTTAATTTAAGAAATGATAATTTTATTAGAACTAATATCTTACTTCAGGTAATGATCTCAGTTCATTATCATCTATCCATAATTCGCTCAATTGGGAGAGTTGGCCAATTACGGGAGACTGAATGAAAATGAAAAGTAAATCTTAAAAAACAAACTTTTATAAACATAAATATATGTATATATATACATTAGTTTTTAGGAAATACTATTATACCTTTTGCCTATTAGTTTGAAGGATGTGAAGATATTGGCTAAACAGTACATTAAATACCCATCGAATACAAGTTCATAACTTGCGTACACCTCTTTTCAGCAGTTGTCCTGTTATTACTAAACCCGGTATTGTGGTCAGGAGGGAATACAAATAAATCTGAAGCAGGTGATAAGATGTAGTTTTCTTTGTAATCTGTAACTAAGTTCACATGTTTCACGTATGTCGGAAAGAAACACTGGATTTTAAAATGAGCAAACAATTTAGACTCCACAAATTTATAATTTGAAGCGATTTGTTTAAACGATTAAACAATGGAAACAAACTCACCAACTCTTGAAACTCATTGGCACCAAGATCAAGAAACTCCAAATGAATAAGATCAGCGAATGAGTCTGGTATTGACTTGAGACAATTATCACGAAGTTCTAATTTTTCTAATAATTGTAAGCTGAATAGAAATAAAGAATTATTATTGGTTATGATCAATCTTAAATAATTGAAATTCATCTAGAAATATCCATCAAGAAAATGTAGCCCTCAATATTTGACAGAAGTCGCATTTTGCTGATAAACAATACAAGCTGGCGTTCAGTCAGTTGCAAAGTAAAATCTGATACGTTCTAGTCCGAGTTGCCATACCCCACTAACAAATAAAGATAAAATTGTCAGACGTATCTCAGAGAAGTAGAGGTAGTAACACTACCAGTGATCATAGAAAAGATTATTAACGGAGACACGATTCAAAAAACATACACCACTGAAATAAAAATTGAAAATTATGGGGGAATAAGCTTAGAATTTAGGGAAAAGGCAAAAAAATAGATGCACTCGATTTTGAGCCATGTCATTCAGAATTTCTAACTAATGGTTTCATTTATCACGCGGACTCCAATCAGGCAATCTATACCGACTAATATGGAGCACACATATTCTCAATAACTTGATGGATCAGTGCCATATTTTGGTCTGGCCACCTCTAGCTTTCTTCCAGCCTACGCTTTCATCAGAAATGGCCAGTCGATGAAGGTGGCGGTTGGGGATGTGTAACACAGCTCAATCGCCTTAGTTGGAGATTCACTACTTCATCAGTCGATTTGCCATTTTTACTTAAAACCCTATTTCTAACCCCAGAACTGCTTAATCGGTGCGATGCCTCGAATATACCTGCGATCGAATACTAATAACCTACAAATATCCTTTATTTTTGGTGGTATTGTTTAAAACCCATTAAGTAGAATGGAGAGAACTGCAGCCAACAGCAACATAGAACTTTGTACGTACGCACATCACTTCAAGTTGACATACCACAGCACAGATCATTCGGACTTTCAATGGCAGAAGTAGTAGCATCATTAGTGGTAATGGAAAAAACTAGCGATTGAAAATATGATTCAAGAAGTATAACCTAATCAAAGAATTTTTAAAATAAAACGTCATGAGGTATTGTGGATATTAGATTTTGAGAAAAGATAAAGAATGGATATATTGGCGCCATTGCAAGCGACTTCGAACCATGTTACTCAAAGTATCTAACCACCGGCTACAATTGTCTGACGGACCCCAACTGAGTAGTCTACTCCTACTAATATGGCTCAGTCCATTTGTCAACGACTTCATGGATTTGTGCCATGTTTAGGTCTAGCAGACCCTAGCTTTCTTCCAACCTACTCCTACAACGCAAAACATAGCTCAAAAAGGTAGTTAGTGGTTAACTGAAGCACTGTGAACTCGTCTATTAATTGGCAGACGGATATCTTGACTACACCACAAATGACGCAAGTTGACCAAGGCCAACCGAGTCTTCTGTATACATGCCGAGATTTCATCATACATCAGAATTGCATGCCCGTTAGAACCATTTGAATAAAATTTTACTAACAGTAATTTATCGGTTGGTTATGAATAATGCTTTTAGGTACTCCGTTTTTGGATTGTCATGGAATATATTTGGAAACAACTAGGTAGCCGAATGATCTTTCCTACCAAGATTATTTTATCGACCATTTTTCCGATAACAGAGGTGTTACATCTTTCAAAATTACTCTAACAACCTGGACGTTACGTTGGACATTCATTCGGATTGATGCTTATGATGTTTTCAACTGATTTCCTGCTAGTTCAGGTTCGATGATTTGTTATTATTTAAGTTATCAAGTGATACATTTAAAAATGTGAACAAAGTAGCAGGCTGTTAGTATATACACCGTAAATGAGTCGTAATTTTACTTACAACCGCAAAATTAAAAAACAAACACATACCTGCCTATTTCCTCCGGAAGCTCAGCGATCGAAATATCATTCAAGCATAAAACTCGAAGATTGCGCAACTGGCAGAAACCAGCAGGTAGGCTGTAATTGGGAGATTTGGATAAATAGGTTAATTTGTAAAAAAATTCAAAGCAACAAAAAGTTTCAGACTGTTTTGTGTTACTCACCAAATCACATCATCCTCCAAAAAGATGCGACAACATGATACACAGACTTATCGTCTTTACAGTTGAAAACCTAACCAATATGAAGTAGGCAGAACCATGAAATTTAGATTACTTAGTTTTCATGTAAAAGAAACTAAAAAGGAGGCAATTAAGCACCTAAATACCTGGGTCTAGTGCATAATAATGTATCATTATGTAGTACTCTCTAAAAGGCATCGTTTGTAGCCAATTGTATGAACGTGAGAGTATACGAAATTCAGAGAAACTGTAACACTAAAAAATGTATCTACGAGCCGGACTAAAATTACAGGATGCAAAATATCATATACTAAAAGTTTTGTTTAGAAAGTTAATCACGTCCAATAAAACTGACAACACAAAATATTTAACAAGCAAAAAAACTATCCTTCTGTCTGCTAAACTAACATCTAATCGGGAATTGTTTTTTGTGATGCCTCAATTAATAACGATCGTCTACAAATTGCATTTTTAGCCTTTAATTGTGAGCCGAAATAGTAATAATATATTCGCGTTTCTATGGCAAGGAAGTTTTAGAATACCAGATTTCTATTCAATCTTTGAAACATATAAAACGGAATATGCTAGTAGTACGTTTTGGAACAAGATTATTTATTTGGGCTTAAACTAGACATGTGTAAACATTTTAATCATCGGCATCTCACCTTTGCAAAGGATTATTGCTTACATCCAAACTCTGTAAAGAATCACAGAACCGAATACTTGCCGGGAGTTCAGATATATCTGGGCGAGTAAAAAATACTAAGCTGAAATCATACCATTTCTACTGATGTCCAACTCCACAAGATTCGAAAAGCTGCCAATTCCATTTGGTAAACGGGTAAGTTCATTGTCACTCAATGTCAGGAGACGAATTCGCTTTAGGCGGAAGAAGTTCTGAAATAAATCACAATGAAAATCACTGAACCCATTCCATATCAAAAAAGTATGTATCAAAAGTAGTTCTAAATACCTTCGGTAACTCCTTGATTTGGTTGGCATCCAAGCGACATTCCTCAAGAGTTCGAAAACTTCTTATGACGTCATCCGGAACCTGTTCAAGCTTTGAATGACGCCTATCAATATGATCTATATGTCGACCACAGGGTCCTATGATTGGCAAACACTTAAACATTATAAGTCGAAGAGCGACATTTCGTAAGATCGCGCTATTGTAAAGTGAAGGTTTTGTGTCAACTATGACCCAGTAAAATAAACTCAAGCGGGTGTTTGGAAAATGTAAAATCTGGCAGTCTGTGATATCCTTCCAGTTTATCTAATTACCTTCCGAAGGTGAAGCTCCAACTACCAGTTAAAGTTAGAGGTTCCAATAATAACTGATTATGATAAAAAATGGAAGTTAGCTGACAAGCATTCTGTTCCAGGCTTGTCAACTTTCTGGAGTATAATCCTTGATTCTCTCTCCTTGAAGATTTAGAAAACGAGGTCATATCACATCCGAAGTCGTACTTTTTTTATCAAATAATATCATACTGCGTCTTCGAAAGTCAAACAGTAAATTAGTTGCTATTCTTTCAATTTTTCTAACAACTCACTGAACTTTCAATCGGAGAATGATTATTTGTATACAGCACTCAAGTTTAGAAAGAACAAACACTACATAATATAGGATATCTCTTCCACAAGCTATTATAAACTGACTGATTTATTTGCGCTCGATTCTTGTTCTTTCGGTACGGTTCCAAGTATTTGGTAATGTCCAGTGGATGGAAGTCTAACTCCTCAACTGCTTTAATCCCAATCCTCCGGAAGTTATTTGTGAGTTAGTATGTCTCGTGATCAGAACGACTGAGTTTGTTTCAGGGCAGCAGGGTTTCTGGATACCGTCAGCTATCACCTCAGTAGGTCGGAGATTAGGAAGTTTAAGCGTGGAGAAATTTCTAATTCTAACAACAATAAGACTTCAGATCTAAGTAAATAAATGGACAAATAAGTTAACCGATTGGTAGTGAAGATTTTGTAAAAGGACAAAAACGTAAGCAAAGGAGCGAAAACAGAGACAAAAAGTGAGACTGAATAAGTTAGTAAATTGTGGAAATGACATTGAAAACAACTAGCAGGTTTGTAGGCAAGCATCAAACACAGACGGCCCAAGACATAGATGGCAGCCGTATGTTCATACTTTTTTATCAAGTCTCCTCTTAGAGCTATCCACTGAGGGGGCAGTGGTCACCTTGGCTGGGAGAGCATTACAGGCTGCCATAACTTTTAAAGAGAAAAATTGTGCAAGAACCTGGATGTTCTTCCTTTGATAGACAGTTTTTCAAGGATTACCTCGAGTGTCGTATTGTTTCGGTGAAATTCTCATGCTCGGATAAGTTGCCATGTTTTTATGTTGTTTATTATCAGATCACCTATGATTCTTCCGTAACTCAAGAAACAATGTTTTTTCTTCAATCCTATCACTCATGTAGCTGCGCTTCTCTGAACTTGGTCTAGGAGCTAGCGATGACGTTGTGAACCTCAAGGTGTGGGTAGGAGTGTGTTTTAGTTGTGGTCAGAATAATTCTGGGGTAAGTACATCAACTTGTCTTCGCATAAAACGAACAGCTACATTAGCTTTGGTTGCTTCCGCTATGCGGTTCGAACTGGTGTCTAGGCTTTCTGTCGGTATTAAACCGAGATCTCACTCTTAGGAGACATTAAGGAGGGGACTGATATTGAGGGCTTGAGTCACTTGGGGTTGATTTAGCTTTAACCCATTTTCCGCTGCTAATTCCTCAACTGACATAAAATCCTTTTAAAGCTTCTGATGGACCTCCAGAACTTCGTATCATCTGCATAGACTGGTGCGGCGGAGCTAATTTTATCTAACATGTCGTCAGTTCCTCCTTCAATTTTTTTAAGAGTCAATCAGTCAGTCAGATGCAACGTAGAACTTCGTACGTAAGTACATCAGTTCATGTTGCCATATCACTTCAGCACGGAGATGTAGTATAGAGCGATGTTTAAGGAGATCAGGAACGACGTTTCGCGAACTCGGGTCGTCTGCATTAGCGGTGCGGTGAGAAAAAGGAGTGTGAGTAGAGTTAGTTGTTGACATTAGAGAGATATTAGGGGGTGTAAGAAGGATTTGATTTTGACCAATTTGGTCTCGCGTGCTGTTACGGGTATGAGGGCGGTTGTCACTTCCCGGCTGCCCACACCATGGAAGGTTGATTCTTGAGGGACCTGAAATAGAAGATAGGTTAGTGTTGGTGTGTGACCGCAGAGCCCATGGGACAACTGCTTGAGGCCCGTCACGCACGGCCTTTTTGTTAAAGGCATTTTGAGGGTGAGCTCCGCTCTTAAAGGCCCGCCGGAGACGGAAATCCGTGGGGTAGGGGAGGTGTGACATTTTTAGGGCCGACCTTTTCTAACCCTTCCTTCCTTGTGAGGAGGCAGCATCGCTGCAGATGCCGGTTATCCGAGGTAAACACCTTACTGCTGTCACAACCCCCTGCAGTCAGCAGTACGACTTCGCCCTCAGACCTTGGGTAGCTGCTTTTAGTCTCATTGTTCTCCAATCGACCTGCCTGACATGGAAGAGCCTGCAGGAACATATGTTCCAGCCAGTATAGCTCGGTTGGGTCATCACGATAGGCAAGCCCGACCACCACGTCAAGGTAGCAGCTACGGTCGGGTTTTCTAGAGTACCAACAGAGATCCATTCCTTGTGATGGTGCTTCTTGTGACCCAGAGCCTCCTAACATGTTGAAGTGATTGCCTCCTTAATCCCTTTCCAATTGTATTCCAATGTTGCGTCCTCGCCATTGTGTAGATCCTGAAAGGCCTGGAACCTGTTGGTGAAAGCTATCTTGAATTCGTTGAGTTTTACGGTATCCTGAAGAAGGGCTGTATTAAACTTCCATGATGTTGCCTGCCCCGTTGTCCAATGCTTCTTTAGCTTCAGTTTCATTTTGGCGACCAGCAAATGGTGATCTCAAGCTATATCAGCTCCTCTCTTGGTTCTCACATCCTCCATGGTCCTTCTGAACTTTTTGTTGATACAGATATGGTCGATTTGGTTTTGAGTAGTGTGGTCCGGTGAAATCCATGTGGCTTTGTGAATGCGTTTGTGTGGGAATATTGTGCCACCGATAACCAGTTTGTTGAAGGCACATAGGTTTGCAAATCTCTCACCGTTTTCGTTCCTTTCTCCCAGTCCATGTCGTCCCATGATGTCTTCATATCCAGTGTTGTCCATTCCAACCTTGGCATTCAGGTCTACCGTAATAATCGTCAAATCCTTTGGTGAACATTTTCTGACGATTGACTCCAGCCTTTCGTAGAATCGATCTTTAACGTCGTCATTGTAGTCATTGGTAGGTGCATAACATTGGATGACGTTCATTGTAATGTCCTGTTTCTTTGTTTTGAAGGATGCTTTAATGATCCTCGGTCCATGAGATTCCCATCCTATCAGTGCTTTTTGTGCATGTTTGGACAGCATCAGTGCAACTCCTTGTGTATGTGAGGCGTTTTCCTCTTCATGACCAGAGTATAACAGCAGTTCCCCTGAAGCAAGTCTCAGTTGTCCCACCTGTGTCCATTGCGTTTCACTGATGCCGAGCACCTCGATGTTGTATCTTTTCATTTCTCCCGCAACTTGGAGTAGTCTTCCAGTCTCCCACAATATACGAACGTTCCATGTAGCTAAACGAATGGTTGCTCTGGTTGTGAGAAGAGGCATCGGCCCCGTGACTTCCGAGGGAACTCGGCTTTGATCACGCGACTTCATAATTGTTCTTCCAACTCCCAGGGCAGAGTTAAAATGGTTTGAATTATTTTTTCTGGATATAGTTTTTTTGGCAAGTGAGATTTCGACGGAATGGGGTCGCCAACCCCATGTCCAACCCTTCTCCTTTATCCGGGCTTGGGACCGGCAGTAGCCCCGAAGGTTCTACAGGTGGAGTTTGGCCTCTTGATATCGAAATAATATTGAGGCAAGAGAGCGTACAAACGGTTAACGTCCACGCAGGAGACGTGCGAAGGGGAGAACAGGAAAAATACGCTCAGCTCGCGAGAGATAGTCTTTTGTACAGATAAATAAGAGGTGAAAATATAGCAATTATTGTCAGAATTAAGCGCGATAATAAATATTTATATTTCAGCAATTGTGTTTGCTTCGTAAAAGTAAACCACTACAACCTTTTACATATTGGCTTGAGGATTTTTTCCTCATTATTAACCACATTGCAAATAACTGGCCTCAGGCCTGGTAACATCAAAGATGGTGGTATCCTGAAGCCCCAATATCCCAAAACAAACATAGTCACTCGAATCACGGTACACATAAACTCAAATGAATAGAATTAGTGCAGTGTAATGGCTAGACCACCATCCATCGCAAATTTTCGGATACCTGGAATCGTATCGAAAGAACAAGAATCGTGCGCAAAGAAGCTAACGGTTTTATACAATCTCGTGAAAAATGTATTGGAAATCGGATATGGTGGAATTTATTTGCATCCGATGGTATCAAGCTTAAGTTCACTAGTATTATTTTATCGTGAACATTTTAAGTCTGAAAAGGCCTTTAAATGTTGTTTTTACGCAATAAACATACCGTTGTACATACGTGATTCCTAATTTGTTTAAGTATTCTAAAAATCTATAGCAGTACATGTGCAAAAAAGCGGTAACATGAAGATATGGTCGTTTGTAAAAATAAAAGGGGTAGGTTTTTGTAAATATATGGTATAAAATTGTATGGGCCCTTATTCTTACATTTTGAAATAAACAATAAAGTTTTCATGTGGTCTGGTTTTTTAAATCCAACTCTGTGTCAGCTCAGCATAAATAAGGCTCGATATCATTAGTATTCCGTTTTACATTTTAATTTTCGAAATCATGTTCAGCCAGTTAAGTGATATGTATAATTATTACCTAATTCAATAGGTTTTTTTAAATCACGAATTTTGCAGTACTGTTATCGAAGTTTTGTATTCATATATAGTAGCTATTGCATTACACAAAATCTCCAATTAATTTTCGCTGTTAGACTTTATTGAGAACGCTTCTTTCCTTATTTTACATCTTTATAATGTTTTGACGTACCTTTGGTAACGTTACATTATGAACCAGTTTATGGGTCAATCAAATACACCTTTATTTTGCAATCCTTGGTGTTCTGCTTTTACCGTACAAATAAAAAATGTCTGAAAAACCCTTCTCAATACACCTAAGTTTAAATATATACATAATTTTTTAGTGCAAATAAGTCATTGGTTGGGCGTTAATTCGTGTTTGAACTTTTCGGGTTTAATGCAACTATCTTGGATTATCTGTAAGGCCAGATTGCATTTTATTATCATGCCTAGTGTTATTTATCTATGGAAACCTAAAATTTTATTTTCAACACCTCCGGATGTAGGCGCTTATCCTAATTTTTCTCACTGGTTTTTAACACTCCTATGAATTTTTTCAAGGTCCTTTTTGTATCACTCAAATTCTATTATTAAGTCCCAGTCCCATCCAATTATTTTCACCGAGATATTTTGAAAATCAGTGCTGTTTCTTTGGCATTTAGATACATGTTTATGTTTTGATATGACATGGGAGAAAATACATCAATAAGGTATTCAGAGTATCTACCTTCGCAACCCACTCTAAGCCTAATAAATCCAAACCTTTCCGGTTTGTTAGATAACAGACACGGTCAAATTTGCGTCCTTTAAATTGCACTGGGCGTTTAATTTTTCATGTTAGTTTAAATGTCTCCCGGGGCATTCTTCATATCGTGTTTGGTTGGTTTACTGGGTGGAATTCCTAACTGACGCCATGTTTTGTTGGAAAGCAGTGTAGTGTCAGACGCCATATTTAACTGAAGACGAATGGTTTTGCCATTCACCAATAAGTTATTGTACTCCCGTTTACTCTGAAAACCAACTTTAAAGTCGCAAAGTATTCTTGATTTGACTATGTGAACTCTACTTTTAATTTCTACGACGAAAGTTTGGTTGATATTTCTTTGGTGGGCAGTGATCTTCTTTATGACCATTACGACGCCGTTAGCGAGGTTTGTGATTCTTAAGCGGGAATCATTTCATAAGATGCTCTGCTCCACAAAACCGAAATGGCGAAGATGTGCGTAACGCTAACTTTGTTTGAAAGAGTTTGAGGATTTAACTGCATTTACTAACCTGAAATCAGGTTTCGACTTCTGTTTCATGTTTGAGATTTAATAGCCTTTGATATTCAGTTTTAACCACCTGCAAAGTCATGTTAGGCTCCTTCACAATGCGCATTAACATTTTGATGCCGATATCAACAACTTTAACTTTTTTTAATCAAAAAATAAAGGCGCGCCGCAATTTCATTAATTTTAAAGCATTTACATTCTCAGTTAACCTTTCAAGCATATGTGAGATAATTATCGGATGGAGATTTGCATATTTGGAAAAATTGATGGCGAATGTTGAATAATGAGGTCTTCGCCCCAAAATACGCTTTCATTGTTTGTCGCTGTCTTTTTGTCTCTCCCTTAACAACAGTGAATTAAGTAAACACACAGTATCTACGCCATTTTGGAAATATTCATTTCGAATCAAACCTGTCAAGAATTTTTATAGAATACACGTATGGTATAAGATGTTATGATTATTGACCATATTTTGATATAGTATAATTGTAAACGTTGACGTTTTTGAAGAGAAATGTGGTATCCTAGAAAGTTTCCCAGTTTGTCATTTATAGGGGTCAGTTTCAAGGTTAGCTGATGGTAACTAGAGATGCGTAGACAGCAGTTTATATTTATCATCTATCAACATTTATTTATGGTCTTTAACTAATTCTGAAACTCGACAAGGTAGTTTTTGAGTGCAGACCTGCGTTTTTTAAGACAATGAAAGTTTGTAATTACACATCAAATTGTTTTTGATACCACTGCATTTATGCAAACTGTAATTATAACACGTACTTTTTGGTTCCATGTATTTATAGATGCGCATCTAGCTTTGAATCAAATAACAAACTATCGTAACCGCTTAAATAGTGAAAAAGATGATTTGCTGGTTCAAGCTCTAAATCGGTTGATGAATGTGTTTCAAAGTAGACTGTTTTTAGGTCTACTTGGTAGGTTAACATATACTTCTTATGCGGTAAAATATATAACTGTTTGATTATTTCATTACAAAATATTTGCCATCCGAATGTTTTGATATGAAGTTTCAGTTCTGACCGTTTTTATTGTTTATTTGCTAGCTTTTACTGACTTATATACTCCTCTTTCGTCCAGACCTGAAGTCCGAAGTAATTCTAAAAAGGCTCCTAGTGGAGTTATTAGGTTCTACTAGCAAAAATATCATATCATTGAACAGCTTTTTTCGCTAAACACATTAAATGTTTTCTAAAATTGCATTTTTGTTTGGCTACAAATATCGGATTATACTTTCGAGGAAAATGAGATTATTCAGTGAGAAAGGATTATAAAAGAAAACGAAATAATCATCTTGAACCTATTAATCTATATTTGTTCGTTAATTATTAATTTGTGATTGAATATAACTTTGTACTGGTAAAAAACAATAAGGATTTTATGTGGCATATCTAAATAATTTTGCAAGTAGTTCAAAAATAGCATATTATATTTTGTACCAAGGGTGATGCATATGAGAATGAATATAATTGTTTGTTGATGATATTCTCTTGGATTTGAGCATGACGTTTATTTGATATTGTGAATTTGATAGTGAATCCAGAGAAAAGAAGGAAAAGTAATTTTTTAATAGAGAAGACAAATTCACAGAGTCATGAGTTTGACAGCTGTTTGTCTATTTAAATCATCAATGATTCTTAACAATAATTAGTCTGAAGTGAACTGTATATCATTGAAATGAGTTCATACTGTTTGCAACTGTTATTATTATTATTATCTGGTTATATTGATTAAGAATTTTTGATGGTTCGAGATTGTTAAAGAATAGCGAGCTTTATAATTGAAATAACTATTTCTTTTCACATTCTTGATTTTTTTTCTATATGGATTAAAACACAATAAAAACATAAAGATATACAAGAATTTTATGAAGCTATCCTATTAGATCCACAGAAAACCAAAGAAGAGAAAACATCAGCCGCTCTTGAAATTGCATCAAGATGGGAAAATATATCAAGTCCATCGTTAGTGGCCTCCACAACCGATTTGAGAATACCACATAGTTTATTAAATAAAACAGATTGTTTTGATAGAGCGGTAAGTATAATTGTCTTTGCTTATTCTTTAATAACTTTACACAAAAAATCATTTTATAATTTCGTTTGTATGTGTATACATGATTTAATTATTTTTATTCAACATTCCAATGGATGAAGAATAACATTCTTTAATTAGGAAATATAGATAATATGCAACAAAGTATTTGTTTTTGTTTTTTAAACTTTGTTTTATTAAATCACTTCTGTTTTCTTAAATCAAACTATTATTCACTTCGAAAAGAAATATGTGAAAGTAGTTATCAGGAAATGATTCACTTTAAAAAAAAATAGTTCAATACAAAATAACCCTAAAAACCTATATTTCGATGGTTGATTCCAATCCCTGCTTTTATGCATTGAAAGTCGTCACTTCCTTTGAGTCCATGTTCGATTGAATGGCCTTTGCTATTTTTATTATTTTGTTTAGAAAGGTCAATATAAGATTGTACATACAGATATATTAAAAATAATTAGACTATCTTTTATGAAGACAATTTTGAAAATGTATTACATGTTATTGTTTTAACTTGTTTTCATACAATATTAACTTCTATAAGTTATGTTTATACTAGGAAGTTTGCATTTCAGCTATGAATTATAATTAGAAAAGATTATACATTCATAGGTAAATTATGATATGAATGATAACTAGACAAACTGATATTATTATTATGATTATGTAAAGTGAGTAAGTTAGTACCATCTTTGCTAGTGATGACGGAAATATTAACATTTAATTAGATTAGCAGTAAATAAACAAAGAATATTTGTATAAATTTCTTTACTTTTTCATCGACATTATTATATGATTGGTGCAAACATGAGAATTTAATTCGAATAGTCTTCTGATGTATATATATAAATATATGTTATATATGTTATATATATATATATATATATATATATATATATATATATATATATATATATATATATATATATGTGAATTTTTTCTATTGTATTTGACAACACAGATTGGTAGTGTTATTAAACTGCTAGAATATTTTCTGTTTTAAAGAAAACTTTCTATACAAAATTCACCTAATCGACTCAAAAGATAAATTCACTTTTGTGATAATTGTGGACGAGTTTTGTGAAGTCCACTGTTTATTGATAAAAGACTAACTACAACCTAATATTTTTGTTGAAGATTAAATTTAGGCTAGAAAATCATTAGACCTGTTTTATTAAATGTCTAGGCCAGCATTGAAAGTAAACAGCATTAATTTCTTACATTAGTTATTTTTCTGACTTTTTCATCATAACTCTTAGTCTGACTGGCTATCTGTTAATCTGTAGACTGTAGAAGATGAAACAGGCACAAATGTTGACTATACCTTGATGAATTTTTATTTACTTACGTCAAATACTAACTGACTCGATGTTCTTATACATTGATAGTATTTTATATAGTTAATCTAATATTCTTATTCTCAATGTCATATCCAGGGTAAGTTATGCTTAGTTGTAAGTAAGAATAAAAATGAATGTTATATTAGCGTGTTTCGTATTGCTGTCTTATTATAGATATTATATCATTGTTTAATCAGTAAATATTTTAATCCCTATAAACATATACGAATTGGAATAATGAAATAGTCATCTTGTAATACATATAATTTCAGAACAGTGATTTGAATAAATTTAACACGAACTCATTCTATTTCCTCATATTCTTATTAACTACTTATTATATAATATTTCAGTATCAGAATTGCTGGTGAACATTGATTTGAAGTTATTGTAAACATATATTAGCATAATATAGCTTAGGTTTGAAATAAGTTAAAAAGATGAAATAAATATACAAATTTCATATCCAAAAGAGTCGCCCAGATTACTGTAATAAAAGGTTATATGGGACTGTGAAATTAAATGGCCAAGTTGAAAAATAATTAAAAACAAGATAATCACAATTAACAATGATTCAAAATGAGTCCATCTAGTTGAAAGTAAAATTCCTAATTTAAAATATATTGTAAAATGATTATGATGGTGTAAAATGTGTGTGTAATTAACTTTGAGCTGCGTTACTAGAACAGTGAATTTTATTTTCCAGGTTATAACTATCTCCTTTCTTCTAGCTTGATCAGAAATAATGCCTTCATGTTTTTTAAACATTCCTTCGATGTTCATTAGTTCAATAAAAGATTTTTGCAAATAATCTAAAGGGGAAATTTACGTCTTGTACGTCGGAAGAATACTGATAAAAGATAATGTTTCTTCTCATGTAACCCCTTCAAACCTGAATTCTTATTGACAATAAAAAAATTTTATAATTGATTTTGCAGTTTAGAAGTTGTAAATTCAAATTTTATTCTTGGAAATACGCTTCCTATTATTCACTGGAGAATCGGTGGGATCGAATTTCATACTTTATTTACTTTCGCCCGTTACCCCTCATTGAGCGAATGCTACCGACCAGCATTCTCCAACCAACAATGTCTTGGGTTCTCCTTTACATTCTTGGCCGAATGCTATTCATTCTTTTCATGTATATCTCTTATCCTCGGCGTGATGTATTCTTTGGTCTAGCTCTTTTCCTTTTGCCTTGAGGATTCCAAGTTAAAGCTTACCTCGTGAAGCAGTTTGGTGATTTCCTCAATGTGTGTACTATCCAGTTGAATTTCATGTCAGCGCCTATGTAAAAGATATGATCCTGTGTGAAAATACACGACGTTGTTTACAAAGGCATTTTAATGACCAGCTAAATGACATTTGCGATTAGTTCAGATCACTGTTTAAACTTTTTGCTTGTTAATTTTTAGTTAACTACCTCTCTAAAATTTATTATCACGTAAGATATATATGCGTAAATTAAGATTGTTTTGAAAGACTTGTCAGTAATCTCAGGGTTATACATATTTCCCTGATGGTCAACAATCCAATTTAACAAATGAGGTATTTACTTCTTAATTATTTGAATAATTTATCATTGTTCCCTGCTCCAAAAAGTAATGCCTTAATTTTGCAGTGTTATTTCCTCACTACTCAATGTTTTTTGGTTAAAGAACGCAATACAATTACTCGAGGTCAGCTACATTGTTCTCCTATGTTTTGTGTTTGAAGGCGATTAGCTGATCAATGCAACTGATCATTTTCTACGTAATCTGATGGTTAAGTCTTAGATTTATCTATTTAATGATCCTAGTAGTTACTGTATAAGGAAATTAATAAAGATTACAGATGTATGAGTTATGATACTTGATAGTTCGAATTCTTTAGTACCTATCATTTTCACTTGTAAGTAATGTCTGTTTTGGCAAACCGAATGATTTTAAGCACTTGATGCTGTAACTTTTATAGCAAAATAATTAGTTGAATTATTTTCCTAATCAATTTAAGAAATCATTCTTAAAGGTTTTATTATTGAATGTTTCCAAATAAACTTCTCTTTTCTATCGATTTCTGTGCATTTGTACCAGCGTTCAATGTATCATATCAATTTGGATGATTTACAAAAGCCTTATTCATTACAACCTACACAATCATCACCCTATCATGGTGATCAACATGCAATTAACTCAAATAAATCATGGAAGCGTATAGAACCAAATTTAAAATATGAATATCAACTATCTAATTCATTACATAATGTAAAACAATCATCATCATTTGAGAATTTATCCAATAATGGAATAAAAAGAAATATTAACACCAAATTAAGAACAGAAAATTCTATTTATGCTCATGATCAGTCTGATAAGAGAATCAATGATATAAAACTATCACCTGAAATTCCTGTGGCAAAACCACGTCAGAAACGTTTAAAACGACCAAAATCAACTTTAACTCGTGATTACGACGTGAGTTTGTCCAGAAAACTAAATGAAAGTTCAAATGATCATTTATCTATTCAAGATGATATTCCATCAGATGATTTAAATGATAGACAATGGGCTTTACTTAGTCGTTTGCCTATTACTATGGAAGTTATTATTGAAAAAGGATCTAAAGGATTTGGATTTAGTATTGCAGGTGGACATGATAATACTTTAGGTCCAGACGATAATGATACTGATGTGTATGTAACACGAGTTAATCCAGGTGGTCCTGCAGATCATGAATCTGGTTTACAGTAAGTTGAATTCATTGTTTGCCTCTGTTGTGAAGTTTGTATGTAATATGACTATCATCAATTTTTTGCTTATAATTTTGTTAAAAAATGATAACTCAAATGAGAATTTCAAACATTTTATATTTATATTTACATAGGTCTATAAACATGGTTTGATTTTATCATATTGTAATTAAGTCAAAATATAATTCTACGCACTAATAACTTGCAATTTCTATTTATAATTTTATTGAATTTAAGTCAACAATATCCATCGATCAATCATACTTAAGTTAGAGGTTTGTATAAACGGGCGTTGGCATGAGTTTACATACCATATTGGCACAACAACAAGAGAGCCACAGAATTAAGGGAGCATCATTTAATAACAGTGATAAGGAGCATGTATCAACATTGGAAATACAATTCAAAAAGACAGAGTAAAAATGTATTCATCAAAGGATACTGAAACTGAAGGTTTAGATTAAGACAAAACCTGTAACCAATACTCAGTCATTTCACTCGGCATTAACGACCGCTAGTTGTAATTATTGATTGAAGCCTAACTCTGCAGTCTGAATCGGACAACATTGTTTAGACCAGGAGTTTATAACTTTATGTACTGATATTACATATCTATTTGTCTATCTTTTTTTTCGAACTTACTCATATACTAGCAAATATTATCTTCCCTAGGTAGGTGTTTGCTAGATATATGTAACACACATTCCAATCATGTCAGTTAATGACAATTTAAAACTTCATTACTCAGTCTTCTAATTTTTTTCTAACATCCTATGCTTAACAGTATCGTGAATATATTCATTCCATTGTGAAAATGACAGTAATGGAACAATCATCAGTACTCGGCAATTTATGTTATATTCATCTTTGTTATCTATCAGTACAACAGTTTACTATCCTGTGAAACAAAATAATACTATCAGAGTAGATCAATAATTATGTATGTATGTTTTATGAGCTATTTACAGCAATCATTATACAGAAGCTAATTAAACGGTTTAAGTGAATGGATGAATAAAGGTGAAAAGATTGTTAGCCTTATTCCTGGACCATTATGAAATTAATTTAGTCTCTCTCTCTCTCTTTATATATATATATATATATATATATATATATATATATATATAAAGTATTATTTTCCAAATGTATACATATGAAGTATCATTATTGTGTTTTTGTTTCTGTAATGGAAATTGTAAATAAATTAGATAATAGTTTTTTTCTTTTAATCAAAATTACACATCACAGAAATGATCCTTTTAAACTGATAAACACTGACTAGTTTTTTAATGCCGAATTCACATCTTCAGTTATCAGGTTCAATCTTTGCTTGAGTATTATTAAACTGAAAAAGAATGCTAAAAAGAAACCTTAGACGTAAATGTTATTGAAATTTCTAGAATTTTTACCTTATTTAATTTGTATAATTTTTTCATGTATCTATTCAAAGACTTATTTTCAAGTCAGTTAAGCATGAGATTTCATTGTTAATTCTTCAAAAGATATTTTCATCATAAAAATTAGTTTAATGAAAAACACAAATAAAAATTAGAAATTCTGTGAATACTTAATATAATTCTTGATTAATTTTGTACATTTTAATGTTCATTCAATATTCAATGTTCATAAACAAACATATTTCCATTTGTATCATGCAATTTCGAAACGAATAAAAATAACTGTTTTATAACAGAAAATAAGGACCATTGTGTTAAACAAAATAGCAGACTCAATTTTTAAATTATTCAAACATTACTGCTGGACTGTATTCATTAGATGAAATTTTCTTCTAAGTTCATTTTGCCATGTTTGCCTGTTTTTACAGGATACATAATGCAAAAGTACATCTTACAAGAAGTTTTGTTATTCTCCTGTGTCGCTTTAACATTAACGTGAGAAAAAGAATGCTTACATGATTAGATTTATAACTGTTCGAATGCATAAATATATAATTTTTTTATGAATAAGAATAAGGAATAATTTATTGTACACTTTATTTATCTAGTTTTCTGTACAAGAATAAAAAGATCTGAAAAATGTTTGGTTTTAGAACTTTACCGTTAATTTCTAGTGCTCGATTCAAAGTTTAGTTGCTTTAGCTAATTATACAAATTTCGATTTTTTTAATGAATAAATCTGGCATTGTTTACAAGTTTAATTTGATATATATAGATATTTCTGTTGAATTGTGTTAATTTATTCATCATATGTACTGAAATAATCGGTGTAATCATTGAAAACAAACGAATAATCGACTGTTGATTGAATTTCTTTCGTACACTGTACACATGAATTCATTGGACATTGAACTCATACCTCTATTTGATGCTGAGAGTATTTCACTTAGCTTTTTGTATCCTAGATTAGGCTTGTATCTTATTAGGTGTATAATAATAGAGACTGTTAAGTTATTCTTCTCCTAACTTTAAATGCACTAATTTCATGTGTTTAATATAATTTAATTATTGGTAACGCATAATAGGAAATTATTATTATTATATACACCCAATAATTTCTTATGAATGACTTTCGAATTCCTCCTTTTGGATTATTGATTCAAAATCTTAACTATAGAATCTGAAGAGATTTTATTGAAAAGATCATTCTTTATTCATATATCTGAGTTTTTGACATGATGAGGATTTCTCATCGACTCCTAAATTGTTAAAATTTCATTTATAAATCAAATTGTTTGGCAATAAACAAGCTATTCAGCATTCGGGTTAATAAAATTTAGAGCAAGTTTTATTTATTATTCTTAACTGTTATCAGGTCCAAGTTATCTCTGTTAAAACAGAGATGATACTCCGATTATTACAAATTCTATTCACAATGACGTTCTATAAAATCCCTAGATTTTCATAGTCCATATGTTGTACAGTCGAAATTATATCATTAACTATCAGCATTGACGAATTCACTTCCGGTTATCAGTATTTTCTTTTCATACACATTATTCACTTTGAACTTTTATATTGAATAAAAATATTTTCCTGCTGGTTGTTCGTATCGATCACTTAAACCATTCATACATTCTGTTAAACATAGAAAAATAACAATCAGGTGATCAGTTTTATATTTTGTTTCAAGTTTTTCCTTTTCCTGGTCAGCCTAAACAATATTTGTTCTTATACAGTCACTTCTCTATGTGAACAAAACTGTTGGGAGTTTGGAATTACATGCAATTTATAGATGTATACTTTGGTGTTAGATGGATCAAGCATTTCTATTCTGTCATTAGAAAATAAACTATAAAAGTAGACTAATAGCTTTATAGAATACTATGCATTATTTTCAAAGTTGAAGTCACGAATTAATCTTAGCTAGACCACGGCTGAAGACCTGAAGGTGGCACTATATGGCTGTTTTGTCCTAGTGTGGGACTCTTCAGAAGTGCATATCTATGACGCCGCACGTAGTAACTGAGCTTAGGACTTTCAGTCTAGCGTGCGAACGACTAGTTTTTCGACCGTTTAGTTGGCATACAGCGGTATTATTGTATAACTTTAATCAACCATTCATACTGCATAGTCTTCATCGATTGCCTGTGTTGAATAACTGTCTCACACCCAATACATTGAACACCACTGATCACGGCTTTTCACTGGAAGTCCGGGAATACATTTTGAAGCTGGTCACAAATGAACGCATCACAGTTATTAGTGATCGGAATTCGTAGAAATTGTATTATTTTCACAGTCGAAATGATGAACGGATTTTAGTTAGACTACCACTGATTACATGGCAGCGCTGGACAGCTAAAAAAATTATACAATCCACGAATCTCCTTTTCTAATATAATGCTTTGTTTGCTTAAACAGAAAAACTTTGAATTTTAATGGTAGTCCTCTTTCCTTGATTATCGGCAAGAAGTAAGCATTGTTTCTCAATGTGGCATCTAATTGATAGGAATATTTTTAGTCTTTTAAGAAGTTGAACAAATGTAAGTATTTAGATTGAAGGATTCAAGTTAAATTCTTCCAACTAACACTAATGATTTTAAAGCTTTAAAGCGGATTAACAATGAACTATTTATTTATTTTTTCTGACATCACAAGAATTCATTTATTTCAGTAGTCTAGAGACACGGTCACTAGTTTGTAGGCTTGATTTATTAATACTACTTAGAGTAGTTGTGGTATCTGGGTATTATTTTACAAGATACAAATTACTTGAGAACATTAATATGTTTTGATAGAAATTTCATTAACATTTGTTTTATAAAAACAAACCGCACCCATTTTTATATCCGTACCTGTTAATTGTATGTTATGTAGGGTGAGTGTCATGAGACCATTTGAGATTTTAGTGTCATATGTATAGGATTCATTAGAAATCTATTTTATGCAAACATTTTATGCTCTTCTTTTCTTTTTAATGCTTCAAATCTCCAGTATTTGTCATTAAAAAAGGATGAGGCTGTAACCATTATACAGTGCCAAGTATTTCCAAATACTATCACGCCTACTAGTTTCGTTCGCGAATTATACTTAGAAAATAATGTGTGTATATTTTTTGAAATATAAAAGAAATAGCTTAAGTATTAAACTTTAGTGTTCAGATAGCAAAAGTATTAATTTATTATATTCAAAGTTATCAAAAAATAGTGTAATATAACACAGTGATAGTTATACTTATACTATTTGTGAGCTTCTAAACACAAACTGTTTTGCTAACATGAAACGGAAACTAGGTTCACCGTATGATCTTTTATAAGGGTATATGGGAATGTTTCGATTCGATGAAATAATAATAACTTTAGGAAGAATAGTGTTAATTGATATCTTTAGAGAGACTGGTTTTTTATCCTAATTTTGGATTATTTTTTCTAGAAGATTTGTATGTCTTTTTAAAATTTGTTAAAGCCAACCCAATAACATAGAACCTGGTATAATCAGACATTTTTTCATATATCAACTCTGTGTGCCAGGGAGGAAGACCTGAAAGTAAAAGATATCGAATTACTACCTGAAATCAAGTTTAATTGAAGCCAATAG